ACATACTGCTGCAAAGGATGGCCGACTTTCACTCGACATAGCAGTGACAATTGATGGTTGTGCAGTTAATGCGTTATTGGACACCGGCGCAGACTATTCCATACTGAGCGGGAAACTGACAACGCAGCTGAAGAAAGTCATCACGCCGTGGCATAACTCGCAGATTCGGACAGCTGGTGGCCACGTCGTTACTCCACTGGGTGCCTGCACAACTAGAGTACAGATTCAAGGGTACACATTCGTAGCAAGCTGCCTTGTTCTACGCGAATGTTCCCGTGACGTCATTCTGGGAATTGACTTTCTACAAGAAAATGGAGCTATCATTGATCTGCAAGAGCGCCGCGTCACGTTCTCAGCCCAGCGAGCAATCAACGTGCAAGATGGTGGAAGGCGTGTCGACGTACTCCGTATTTCTGAACAGAGTGTGACGCTTCCTCCACGAACAAGTGTTCTAGTCGACGTAACATGCTGTGGTTTGGGCGATGGCGATGTGGTGGCTGAGACAAATTTAGAACACCTCCTGCAGCAAGGCATTTGTGTAGCTAGAAGTGTAGTACACCTTCGTGATGGTCGATCTGAATTGCTCGTAACCAACTTTAGCAACGAGCATCGACATCTTTTCCGTGGCACTTCGATAGCGTTTGCCCACGAAGTAGCAAACGTCACCAACTGTTTCACGTCCGAAATAGTGGATACCGCCGACACGTCAATGAGTAATATTGACATCAATCCTGATCTGCCCACCGTTAACCAGACTGCACTACGAGCGCTTTTGTTCGAGTTCAGGTCTTGCTTCGCAACTTGCTCAAAGATCCGCCAGACGTCCATCACTCAACACAGGATCATCACGTACGAAGACGCACGTCCGATACACCAGAACCCCTACCGCGTGTTGGCCAAAGAACGTGAAGCAATACGTACGCAAGTCACCGAGATGCTTGACAATGGCGTTATTGAACCATCGAACAGCCCGTGGTCATCTCCAGTCGTACTTGTCAAAAAGAAGGACGGGTCGCTACGCTTCTGCGTCGACTACCGAAAGCTTAACAACGTGACGAAAAAGGATGTGTATCCGCTGCCACGTATCGACGATTCGCTGGATAGACTTCGTCGTGCCCATTATTTCACTTCTCTCGATCTCAAAAGCGGGTATTGGCAAATCGAAGTAGATCAGCGAGACCGTGAGAAAACAGCCTTTGTGACTCCAGACGGCCTATACCAATTTCGAGTGCTCCCTTTTGGCTTGTGTTCTGCACCGGCAACTTTCCAGCGAATGATGGACACTGTCCTCACAGGGCTCAAGTGGCAGACTTGTCTTGTCTACCTTGATGATGTGGTGGTCTTCTCTACCACGTTTGAGCAGCACCTTCACCGCCTGCGCAGCGTGCTGGAGGCTATCCGATCGGCGGACCTCACACTAAAGCCACAGAAGTGCCACTTCGGCTATAAAGAACTAACATTTCTTGGACATGTAGTTAGCGCCGAAGGAATCCGCCCCGATCCGGACAAGCTTGCCGCTGTTGCCGAATTACTAGCTCCTGTCGATAAGAAAGCCGTCCGGCGCTTCCTTGGTTTGTGCGCCTACTATCGCCGATTCATTCATGGCTTTTCACAGATAGCAGAACCTCTGACTCGTCTCACAAGGGACGACACGCCGTTTGTCTGGGAAAACGAGCAACAAGCAGCTTTTGATGAGCTGCGACAGCGCATGCAATCAGCGCCCGTTCTCGCTCATTTCGACGATGATGCTGACACGGAGGTCCATACCGACGCTAGTAACATTGGGCTCGGTGCAGTGCTCGTTCAGCGTCAAGAGGACATCGAAAGAGTGATAGCCTACGCCAGCCGCTCTCTATCCCGTGCCGAGGCGAATTATTCCACTACGGAGAAAGAGTGCCTCGCAGTCGTGTGGGCAATCACCAAGTTCCGCCCGTACCTTTATGGTCGTCCCTTCAAGATAGTGACGGACCATCACGCGCTCTGTTGGTTGGCAAGCCTGCGTGACCCTTCAGGTCGGCTAGCACGGTGGAGTTTGCGGCTGCAGGAATTTGATGTCACCATCGTCCATAAGTCCGGCCGTAAGCATGAGGACGCTGACACACTGTCACGCGCACCCCTTCATGTCGTCAGTCAGGAAGCAGAGGAAGACGAAGGTTTTCTGGGCGCTGTTAGTGCATCAGACTTGAGCAAACGACAGCGAGATGATGCAGAGATTCGTCCAATCATTGATCATTTAGAGGGACAGGGCGCAATTATACCACGTCATTTATCCCGCTCGTTGACGTCGTTCTGCCTACGAGACGGTGTGCTGTACAAGAAGAACGCTCGTTCGAACAATCGTGCTTACCTCCTGGTGGTTCCTCGAGACATGCGAGACGACGTCCTCTTCGCTTGCCATGACGAACCCACATCCGGTCATCTGGGCTACTCAAGGACACTTGCCAGAGTGAGCGAGAGGTACTATTGGCCAGGACTTTCAGCAAGCGTAAAGAAGTACGTAAAGAGCTGTCGGGAATGTCAGCGCCGAAAGCAACCATCTGTTAAGCCAGCTGGTTTGCTTCAGCCCATTGAAGCACCCTGCACGCCGTTCGACCAAGTCGGCATGGACATTCTCGGGCCATTTCCTATGTCTGCGGACAGCAATAAATGGGTGATCGTCGCGACCGACTATTTGACACGCTACGCTGAAACCCAGGCGATCCCACGAGCCACGGCTTCTGAGGTAGCACAATTTTTCATGCGCCACATCGTGTTACGACACGGTGCTCCTTCCAGTGTAATAACGGACAGAGGGACGGCATTCACGGCGCAGCTTACGGACGAAGTTTTCAAACTGAGCAACACCAGACACCGAAGGACAACTGCGTACCACCCGCAAACCAACGGACTTACTGAACGACTGAACAAGACCCTCGCAGACATGATCTCAATGTACATCGACGTACAGCACAAAACATGGGACCGAATCTTGCCTTACGTGACCTTCGCGTATAATACCGCCGTGCAAGAGACCACGCGATTCACGCCATTTCGGCTTCTCTACGGCCGCGAAGTGCAGACCATGCTAGACTCAATGCTACCGTGTCAGGACGAAGACGAGTTGGCAACAGAGGCCGAAGAATTCGCAGAGCGTGCCGAGAAAGCCCGGCAGCTCGCGCGACTGCACATCGGCCAGCAACAGCAGGCAGACGCACGACGCTATAATACCCGCCACAGAGAAGTGTTTTACAACCCCGGAGATCAAGTTTGGGTGTGGACGCCCGTCCGCCGCCGTGGCCTTAGTGAAAAGTTGCTGAGCCGGTACTTTGGCCCATATAAAGTGTTACGCCGCGTCAGTGACGTGAACTACGAAGTGGTTCCGGACTCAACACCCCATGCACGGAGCAGGACACGGCTGAGGCCGGACGTCGTTCATGTGTTGCGCATGAAGCCATTTATTGCGCGTTGTTCGTAACTTTTCCTTTACCGTACAGCGTTCTTTGTGTTTTTTGTTTATTTTGTGAACTTACTTTCTCGTTCATTGACGTTTCCTATGTTGGCACGCTCTTCAATTTTTACTTTCACTTCATCCGAATTTCCATTTTTTTTTTCAAGTGCCTATGTAGTGGCATCGCGGTGCTCCTATGTACTTCCCTTTCCTCTTTTTGGTACTTGTTTTTTTCTTTTCGGAAGGGGGGATAATGCCACCAGCACGTAGTGGGTTGACAGCAAGAGCGGCTCTAAATCTGGAGGAAAAAAGAAGATCGCGTTCTGCTTTGCTCGAGAGCCAGCCACGACTGACGCATCGTCCTAGTGCTAGCTACCTGGTGCTTTATTAAATCCCCCAGTACTTGTGACTCATCGTGACAATATATATATATATATATATATATATATATATATATATATATATATAATATATATATATATATATATATATATATATATATATATAAGGGGCCAAACTTTCATAGTACTAATTTTAAAATTTGCCTTCACTGGGTAATTGTTGCATTACTGGACACCACACAGAATATTGACTTTAAAGGTGGTCCAAGTCATGATCCCGCTGGTTTAGAGATGTGCACGGACTCCGGATAACCCGAAATCCCGAGCCCGACGAGCAGCCTGACGTCTTTTCACCTCGGGCCCGTGCCGGGCTCGGTCTTCCTTGTTGAATTGCCGAGCTGGGCACGGGCCTGATGAAAAGCCTGAATCAAGCCAAAAACATAAATGATAGGCCGGAATTCTCGTTGTTTATGTGTGCTTTCTTTGGAAAGAAGTACACTTTTTGTAAAATAAAAATATTTGTTTTGTCATAGTTTTTATAATTGGGGTGTAAGTGAGTTAATTAGCTTTCCTCGAGCCCTTTTAAGAAGCTACACAAGCACTAGAAGCCGACATGTGTTAAAACGCAACAGCTCGCAATAGTGCACGTGGCGAAAATTGCAAGACGCCTTGATAGGCCACATGAACATTCAGCAAGAACAACGAAAATGTCAAAGATTCAATTACGTGCGCGAAATTTTTTGTGCACCAAAGTAAAACTGGCCATATCATAAAGTCGCCACATTCCTCTGGCCGCAGTTCCAGGCACCTGCACATGCATTCTCCAGAAGAGCTTAAGGAGGTGAGTGAGTCTGGCAAAGTCAGGCCAGGCCGGGCCTAGGGTATGTGACGCCGGGCCGGGCCTGGGCAGCCCGTCCTCTATACATCATCGGGCCGGGCTGGCCCTCGTCCGGCAAGCATCAGGCCCGGGCCGAGCTGGGCCACGAAATTGCAGCCCATGCACATCTCTACATTGGTTGCAGTGTTTGTCTTGACAGAGCTTGGAAGACAGCGAATTCAATGAGCACACTTGCCAAAAATACCCACTTTTGGCCGGTTATGGGAAGATTTTCGGGGAATGTATTTTTCGTTAAATAATGGTTCATAACGAATTGCAAAGACGTGTGCAACTACTAATGACAATGTGGATATCTCACCAGTATGACATAAATGTACAAAATGAGGCTGCTTACAATTAAGAAAAGAGCCCCAAGCAGGACAGCCTTGATTTTAACATCCAAGTCCATGGGAAAGCTGACGCCAAAATTGTCCGTGTCAGTGAATGACTCTTTCAGCAGCCCCGACCACTGCTTGCTGATGCGGCCGACTTCTACTGCACCATCCTTGGACAGCACCTAAAGTGGATTAAAAAAATTTGGGCATGCGCTACAACTTTTACCACATGCCTAAATTTATTACCGTATTTACTCGCGTAATTTTCGCGATCGCATAGTTCTCACACCCCCCAACATCGCCCAACAAAAATACGATTTCTTTTTTTCCTCGAGCAATTATCGCACCCCCGAAAACTGCCGCAAAATTGCCTTCTGCTCGTTTCAACCACTGATGATGATAGCGCATGCCATCTGGCGCCATGTCTTAACTATTGAGCATACTATTGCACAGAGATTCAATCCAATCCAAGCCAAGCCGAAGTGGCCAGTGCGCGTTGCGGCGTGTTTTGTATGTTGTGTCAATAATCTTGCCACATTATGAGGCGATACTAAAGCTACACGGCTGCTTTCAAGTTGCAAGTTATATATCATGCACTAAACAACGGCAACAGGGCCGCCAGTAGGCTCTTCAGAGTCTACGAGTTTTGTGTTTGCTACTGGTGACGGCAGCTGAAAGCCACCAAGACGCGTTGGGCCTGCCGTTGTGCCTAAAACTGGGATTGATGGTAAACTTTATTTCTTCAGAAGGAAACTGGGGACGATTCTGTTAAATAGCCATCAGCCCAATACTCACGTCTTACGCTTACCTTTTGAGGGCTCCTGTTGAGCGACTAAAGTTATCGCTACGCCCGCAACGTCCACAAGCTTTGCGTATGGTATTCTAATTCTCAACTATTTGCTTCCACTTTTTGTGTCTCAAATAAATATTGTCTTGTGTTAAACCTCTGCTTTTATTGTTGAGGTAAGTTTTAATTCGTACTTCCTAAAGCTAGCTGTTAGTTCCTGGGATGAGAATCCCGATTTGCGGCCACTTCGTTTTCTTTTTCGCTCTGTACGTTTTCGTGGAAAGTTTTCCCCGCATAATTCTGGCACCCCCCAACTTTGCATCGGTTTTCCGGCAAAAAAAGTGCGAGGATTATGCGAGTAAATACGGTAGTATATTTTCATTACATAATCAGGCTCCTTGTGCTATTTTACTAAAATCTATGCTATGACACAAATTTCATAAATAAATGTGCCCATTGAGCTCGCACAAATAGAACATGAAAACTTCTTTTGTGTAGGCTGGCAACAACTACACAAAATATCATCAGCGGTCATGACGCACCCAGAGTTGTCACCTGGCCCGCAAGAAATGTTTACGATGGTGCTTTGCTTGACGTTGCTGCAAGCGCCAGTCATAATTTTTATCGCTATGTGCGGTTCAGTTTACTGTTCAACTCCCAAATGAGGATTTATTAGGAATGAGGCGGCACGTACACAAAATCCAGAGACGCAAATGACAACGCCTTAGAATACCTAACGCCGAATTCCCACCATCAACATGTTAATGACATCGATGTCACTTGTCGCTTCTGAGCTAGCAGCTGCTGCTTTCAGCTACTTTGATGCGAAAAGCTAGAAAAAGTGTAGCCTCAGAGACACGTGTTTTAAAACCAATAACACCAAAAATACGTCATGTGGCTGCACATCTCGAAGGCCACACTTTTCAGGCTCGCATGACGTTGTGCTCTAACAAACAAGGACAGGTATGCGAAACATTATAATGATATTGCGGAATCACTTTGCATTCTCATTTGAGCGTCCCTGGCAATTCGTCTTTTTGAAAAACACTATGCCCGTACGTTACGACCTGCAAATCGCGCGTCAAACATACCCTGTGCACTCGCAACGAACCAGATTAGCGCAATAGATTAACGCAGTCTTTTCAGCCCCTGCGTGAGCGAAGGAATCAGAATTTAGAAAGCAGCCAAAAATCAATCAATATCTGCTAGAAAACCTGCACTTTTGGGCTTTGGTGTGGCGCAGCGTTCATTATGGTGTATGTTGAGAGTTCGATATACGGGAGCACCGGTCGCATACTTTTGCATGGGAAATTCAAGGAGATTTTTCGACTGTTGGACATAGCCAATAATTCAATGTATCCGAGTTCGATATGCCAATATTGAGTATATTACATCTGAGATCGAACTCACTTTGAACCTAAAATTTACTATTTGCACAAGCCTACATATTCCGCTTTTTCAGAATTGCATGAGACTGCTCAAGACATGCAGGCTTTTTTAAATAAGTTTAAGGTAAGCGTATATGATCAATATAGAAAACTACATAGAAATCCCTTTCAAGTTTGACATATCTGGGTTTCACTGTATCTCTGTATTAAAGCCTATATGTTGCCCCCTATTCAACCCACTCACCTTGAATTCGACATCTCCACAGATGCTCCAGGTGCAAAAGGGGCCCTCAATCCTCAGTACAGTCTCCCCTTCTGCGTTTTCAACTCGGAACTTGGGTACACAGATGCTCCACTCTTGAGCCACGTACCCGATGGGCGTGTATGGAGGCGATGACACTTCAAGCTTCTGCATGGTGAGAGGATCGAAGCTATCAGCTTGTTGCATCCTATGCACAGAGACTGTGTTGATTTCAGATGAATATAACCAAGCAAACTTATGCATGCCCAGAAAGTAAGACTAAAATGTCAAAAGTGCTTTGCCTAGGGAGTAACTGAAGATGTATAATTCTCTATTATCACAAGGGCATAAGGTTTACTCTAAGATTATCTTCGCAATGCCACATTCACATGCGAATTCCCACGAGAATACTAGCATATTCTTGCTGCACTTGGTATTAGCATGTCTGCGCTGTGCAAAACACGAAATTGGTGAAAGCCTTCACAATAGTACCACTAGAGGTGCTTGATAACTTTTGTCCCAGTGGCATCATCAAAATACACAGGCTGGGGTTTAAGAAAGATGACTCTGAGGTCACGTCAACTACTCATGTTTCTCATGCTTGCAAGGAGTGTGCAAAAGACGTACTAGCTAGGAAGAAATATCAATTTTTGAAAGTTGAAGATAAACAGTTGCATCTAGTGCTTTAAAACACACCACCACAACTGACAAGTGATGATTGAAACATCATAAACATAGCAAAAGCATGGCTATGTTTTTTTTTTTTTCCACAAAATATGTGATCTGCATACAGCACAATGTCATAAAGCAACACTTCCACATAAGTCAGCCTACATGAAAACAAGCCTGTATGGATGCTGAACATCAATACTGAAGGGTTGATGGAAGTGTCCAATACTACAGTAATTAGGACATAGTGAAGCAGATTCAGCATACACCTCTTGTAACATAAAGAACCAGAGTCATCATTTTCGACACTATAAGAGGTACCACACTATAACCAAAAAAACCTTCTTCAAAAGCTGTACTTGCCCGCGCAAAATGCGTTAAAAATGCAGCCTCACATGTCCGAGAATGGAGGCATGAAATGCGAGGGGCATAGAACCACTCCAATTTCCAAACGTTAAAATTAACGCCTTAAGGTCCACGTTGTCAATGCAATGAACATGGTAAAAAAGAAACTTACAGAACAATGCGCCATTGTAGAAATTCGTCGCATAGATTTCACACCTCTTCGATTATGCACATCATACAAACTGTGTTGAATTGCAACTGAAGTTTTGCATTCTGCACAGTAAGGTTTGTTGAATTTCATGGGTGCACACCCGGTGTTTAAGACATTGCAATCGAATCGCCATACACCATTTGAGTTTTAGGCCATGCATTCCCCCGTTATCATTAATGATATGATTTCTATTTTTTGTAAATGAAGCCATCGTGAATAGTTTCGATAATTGCGTACCAAACCGAAACTTCGATTGGCCGCAACCGCTGCTGAAAAGCAACCAGCCCTGACAAAGCCTAGCCTGCAGTTTGGCATGTTGATTGATAGGTATGCGGGGTTTAACGTCCCAGAACCGCCATATGATTATGAGAGACGCCGTAGTAAAGGGCACTGGAAATTTCGACCACCTGGGGTTCTTTAACGTGCACCCAAATCTCAGCACATGGGGCTACAACATTTGCGCCTCCATCGGAACTGCAGCCGCCGCAGCTGGGATTCGATCCCGCGACCTGCGGATCAGCAGCCGAGTACCTTAGCCACTAGACCCCCGCGGCGGGGCAGTTGGCATGTTGTCACAGGATGTTTGTCCGAGACAACATGAAGGTACAGCGTCAAAAAGAATGAACTCATGCACCAACCCAAAAGCAGTGCACGTGATACAAAGTTTAGGTTTGTGGCCGGGAGATCAACGGTGACAAAAGCCCTTCAAGCTTATGTAACTCCTTGTAATGGCAGCAAAGGGGAGCTGACATCATAAGGTGTTTAAATTTGCGGACGAGGTAGCAAACACAATAACAGTTGCAAGCACGATAACAATGATGCTTTAACCAACAGGAAATTCAAAACGCACGTGGGGAGCACACAACTGCACATTTCATGCGGAGCATGCAATGATGACTAGCAGCCGACGCCATACCGGCACAGTGGATCTCCATCCCTTAAGCAACCAACTTCATTCCTCACTCAGCGAGCTCGTGCAACACTGCTGTGGTCATTTTTTTTTTCTTTCTGCTTTCTCTAATCTTTTTTTGTTCACTCCGCGTCTCCTCGTTCATTGTGACAGTGTTGTTGCTCTCCCCCTAGTGGTGCACATCTTTTAAAAAGTGCACTCACTACTATGTTTGTCAGAGAGATTTTCGGCAATCCCATTATGACCGGTCATTCCTTTTGGGGGACTGCACAATAATCGGAATATGCAAACATTAGTTTGTAGGGGTGCTGACACCCTCTGTAAAGTTGTTTGCGCCGCGGGGCGCACGTGTCTCGCCCAAAAGCCGCATTTTGGGGTGACAACCACCGAGCAATAGATGGCGTGTTTGCGTTGAGCACAACTATCATCATCATGGTATGAAGAGTGGTAGCGCTGGTGGTGACCCCTAGCAGAAGGCAAGCCTTGGTTGCAGGCGAGAGTTGAGCGAGTCTCTTCTGCGCGTAGCGGTTGTCGCGAACGGTTGTCTCTAGCGTGGGTCCTCGGCGCGTGATACCGCGGCCTGCGCGCCAGGCGGCCCTCGTGGTAAGTCAAGCGTTAGTGACGCCGCCTTGGGGATGTTATTGTGGTTGTCATGTTATTGTGTGTTTGTCTGTTGTGTTATTGTGTTTGTTTTGGAGTGTGTGTGTAAGGATATTGTGTAAGGATGTCCTAGCGTGTTGATGATTGATGTATCGATTCGGCGGACGATATCGTCTTTCAAAAAGTAGTTAAATAAACATGTGTTATTAATTGATTTGCACCGACCGCGTCTGCTGTGCCTGTTCACTCCAACAGTGTGGTGGCGCTCACTCACCATTGCGAGACTCTACAAGTTTCTATGGGAGAGTAAACGGAAGTCGAAAAAGGCTGCATTGTGACCGGTTTCGCACTCCAAGCGTTTAAAATATACAGTAGACTCTCTGTAAACGGAACCTGAAAGGACCAGGAAAATATGCTCCACTTAACAGAAGTTCCGTTTACTGAGAGGTGAACATGGGTGCAGATTACAAGTCCAAAACCAAGCATTGCCGAGATAATAGTACCGTTTATGCAGTAGTTTCGTTCAACAGATTTCCGTTTACTGAGAGTCTACTGTAAGTGGTCAGCACTAAAGACACATCACATTGTGCCGTGTACAATCCATGCAGGGAAAGGACATAAAGGTGGTACATTCTGTCAAGTTACTTCTTTTCTTTGGCCACTCATTTCAAACTTGGCCACATAAATTAAGCTTAAAACATTTCATAACATTTTGTTACGCATATAAAATCCCTAAAACTGTACGTAACCAAATTATCATGGGAAAAGATAGAAGTGTTTTCACTGCTATGGGAAAGATAGAGTACCTACAAAGAACAAAATTTTTAGTAAAGTTTTCAATTCTGGGAGCATGCAGCACATGCTACAAGATGTAAAGCCATTTGCAGTGAGCCATGCAATGATTTGGTGTTGCGGGCACTTTTGTTCCAGTTACGATGTAAACATTATATCGAGTGGATCGATTTTGCCAACTGTTTGAGGCATTGCTACAGAAGCCATGCGAGAGAACAGTGAAGCAGGGACAAAAAAGAGCAAAAATCACAGCTTTGACGAGAGGGCAAAGCAATTCATGCACTAGCAACAAATTTGTATGGCATATGAAGTAAGGCTAGAAAATAACTCTTTTGGATCTGATCTTGCATAACTCAACAAAGCACTGGTTTAACAGAATATGGCAACCCAGGACCCAAGAGGTTTTAAAGCTATCAGCCCTCTAAACGCGAAGTGTTGAGATTGAGGGCACAGGAAGCTAAGGTGCCATATTATGTCTGTCGAGATGCCGCACATTCCAATGCTTGCGACCGCGAGTAAAGTTCACAGTTGCTGCCTGAGCAACACACTTTCTTTCACCTGAAAACAACAGGCCAGGGTGTTTGATTGAGGAGGCATTAACTGAAAACCTCACACGCAGGCAATGCTATCGCATGCAGTCTTTGTGCGACGGAGATGGCTCACTTGTTTCATATCTGCTTCAGCCAATTCGTCCCCAGCATTTCTGTGCCTTAACACGTCCATCGAACATACTACACACGGGGCGATTAAATCGATTAAGAATTTATACAGATTATAATGTCAGCAGCAAGACCCCGCCAAGATTGTCCATATACTATAACTGCTATCACGAAAAGTACTAATACTGTAATGGTTTCTTGACATTGTGTGAAGACTGTTGAGTTTATTCAGTATAGCGAAATGTGCACTGCACAGGCCACCGTACCTGCAGGCAGCACGGAAAGCAGCAGGAGCTACAGCGTAAATCCCTCTGCAGATGGATCACTTCATTGCCAGCATTGTCAGTGAGCTTGATGTCAAAGGGGCGGTTAGGACCGCAGCAATTTCGAGAGCAACAATCGGTGTCTAGAGAGAAACAAAGTGTGTCATTAATAAAAAAGAACATTATTACAGATAACTAAGGCAGCCTTGCCATGATGACCGGTACCTCAGATCAAGTATACGTGGTAAATAGAGGCTAGAAGACCCTTTAAATTCGCTCTATGAAGTGTGTATGGGCACATGAAAACATTGTTTTTCAGCTGCCCACAGTTGATTTCGTTCGTGCAGTTTATCAGACTGCAAGACACAACTATGTTGGTACACAAGTGATTTGGCTCTTGACTTATGCGCTGCAGTTGTCAATTTACAAGTGTGCATTCATGGACAACACGAAGAAGAACAGCAAAAACCACGGGCTGCTGCTTGCAGACTAAGCGGAAGTCGTAGGTTCTTGTTTGACGAACCAAAGCATCAACTGTTGATAACATCACAGGTGCAACATGTTGACAGCGCACATCTCACCGGAGAAGCCAGAAAGGCCCAGAGAGATGAAGGAATTGTTTTTAGGGAATTGTGGTGTGGCCTGTAGCTCTGCTATGTGTGGCATCATTAAGAGTGATGGGATTCTGAACAGGTTGAATGTGTTTACTTGTAATGCTTGAAAAAAAAATTATCGGAGGTGGTTCAAGGGCCCTTCATTACTATCGATTCTTTTGCTAAGCATGACCGACTAGTTCAAATAAAGTTATCTGACCATCTCATTTTTGTAATTCTAACACCAACGGTAAGACAGATGATGATATTATACCATTAAATTTGAGATTACATAGCAGTGAATAGTGACAGTGGGAATAAAATGTCAGCAGCTGTCTACCAGCATGTTTAGATATCTGCTTTGAGTTTTTTTTTTTTCTTAAGGACACAATATCATATATGCACTGATAATGCACCACGCTTATTTCACAATGGACAATACAAAATAAGTATGCACAAAACTTGGTGAAGGACAAGCATTGAACACAGAAAGCCATCCAACATTAAAAACAATAAATATTAAATGCAAATAACTTTACGTTATGTGAAGATTAAGCCTAGCTGATTTCGTCCTGTTTACTGAAACAGTGAGCTAATGTGGGCCAGTTGGTAGATACTGCTAGTACTCATGCAGCAAAACAGTGCTAGTGAATGGAAAAAAAACAAGAAATGATAAACACATTTGCATGGTGCTGTTAGGTACAGTTTGCTGCAAGTCTACAAACTACGCAAGGCCGTGGCCAGGAGTTTTTTCAAAATATTTCCATTAGGTATGTCAGTGGCTATTGACAGAGAGCTTTTCCAGAGAGCTTCATTTCATGGTTACTTGAAAAAGTGTTTCTGGGCCCCTTTAAGTCTAAGCGATTATTGAAGCAGTCTAGGTTGTCACAATTCATCCAGGTTCCCACACTATCAATTTTGGTTTGAAAGACCCCAACTTTATAGTTTTCTTAAATTTTCTCCCCTGTTCTCACGTGTCAAGCCACTGAAGGGAAATAGAAGTACTTGGAGCCTTTTTTAACTACATAGCAATACTCCTTATCTCTCTTGCTTTGGTTGCCTTTATTGAGGACTGCGCACTCGCCATTTTCTGATAAGAATGCTGTGTTGCGCTGATAGCAGCACCATCGTGACCAAGGTGTACCGGGCGCACAGCGATAACATGAGGTAAGCGAGTGAGATAGACGATTACTGATGTGTGATAGAAAGACGCCCCAAATATGCCTCTTTGTTAACTGAGCCACAACTGCCGGCGGCGAGGGCAATATTTTGCCACATTGCAACCCCCTTCGGCGCACTGGCTGCCGGCGGCAGGAAACTGGCGTTGGAAAAAGAGCAAAATCGCTGCAATGGTGTAACAGAGGGTTGACTACAGGGGACTTTGTCACGCGAACGCGATGCACGTACGACGTATTTTCAAAGGTGCTGTCAGGAACGCAGCAGAACTACGCATTATTTCGTCTGTCACCTTCCATGTACCGTCGGTAGCAACGAAAAATTATATGTGATGACGCCATTGTAACATTACAAAAAGTGCATGGCCTTTTCTATGTTTGCCATTGTGCGGAAAAACACTTCAGCTCATTCGCATGACCATATCGCTACCATGAAATCATTCCAGAACTATGAAGAGAGTACACAAGAGAGTATCCTTCGGTGGGGAGAATCGTGCACCTTGGCCTTTCACAGGAACTACTGCGTTAGTTGCCTGGGCCACAAAGGTCACTTCACTCGCTGAGCAGGCCCCGTTTGCGAAAAGAGAGCGCTTTTCAAACACCGCGAAGTATCAACTGGAACACTTCTTAGTTCGCACTCATATCTGCTCCTGTGATTACGTTTCATGCATCAGTTTCATTTAAACAGCGCATTAAGGGTCGAGCTGTAAACGTTGTTAGGCAGCTGTCACCCTGTGTTGTGTTTGTGCGCCATTTGTGAGCAGCATGTTGCATGTTTCGATCTGCTAGCCGTTCTCAGCATTACACTTCCAAGTTATTTAATCGTTGCTATTGCATTCACTGCTTTGCCCTTGCCGCGAAACTGACTTGTTCTTTCTTCGTGGTTGCAACACTAGGACCCAGCAAAGGTGTGAAGACTATTTTGTTGAGCCAATGCGGCAGCAGTGAGTGGCCTTCATTTTCACGAGCGATACGCACTTGCGGTCCCGCGCACAAGGGCAGTGAATGGCGTGCTCTAAACTGCTAAGCCACATGTACTGCCGTGCAGACAGTGCATGATTTAGATTGAATGAGATGTTTATGGTTGGTAGGCTTGTCATGATGATGTGCCGCCGCATTCGTCGGTAGCCATCGTCACTCTTCTGTGAATTTCCATGCAGGCATCGCCGCACACGCGCCGAAGTCGTAGTAATCACTGCATGATCTACTGAAGCTTTTATCGCAAATGTGCAAAATTGTAAGTTCTTCACAGTGACATACGTGACGATTATTTGTGAACATCGAATATTCGAGGAATATTCAAGTTAGTTCGAATATTCGAAATTTTTTATTATGTGGTTATCGAATCGAATACGAATATCACAAATGCAATATTCGATGAATATTTAATATTCGCACACCTCTACTATATATCAATACAACTTATTGGTCACAACATTTTGCACAAACTGGCATCTACCCAAGAGCACACAATACTGTTCCATCCATGGTTGTTACGGTACTGCTGTCAAGGTAAATGTGTAGCGGCCTTATTGCATACCGTATTTTCGCGCGTATAACCCGCACCTAAAACCCAAAAAATTCAGTGGCAAAGTGGAGGTGCGATTAATACGCGAGGTTTTTTCTATAGTGCTGCTTCACAGCAATGCATGTTGTGCTGTGAAGCCCCTTAACAGTGTAGCGAAGGCTACGGAGGCGGTTTCTGCAAATTCGTGTTGCTCCGCAAGTAGCACGGCAGCTTGCGGCTGATTTTGGTTTCGCTTGCTTGCATCGTTGAAGCGTTTAGAAAAACATTTGGGGAGAGACAATTTGATTGTTCAGTGTAAAATCTCACTGTCACACCACAAGTATATTTTTTGGACGTTCGCGGCCGCTCAGTGACCCTCCACATGTCCCTACGTCACGGACGCCATATTTACTTTTGGAAAGGGCTTGCCGAAAAGGTGGTGCTGTCTAAGAAAGTTCCATAATAAATAAAGTAAGTTCCATAATAAATAAAGTAAGTTCCATAATAAATAAAGCAGTATTTATTTCAGCAAGGCAAATGAGATGTTATAGTGCCTATATAGATATTATCAGTAAATTAATGTACTACTTTTTAACGCGGTAGCAGGCATGCATTTCGGTTCTGTTGTTTCCAGGGTGCTGTTACAGTGTACTAGAAGGGGTAGTGCTGTCAAGTTGTTGCCGAGTGTGAGCGCTCTTTACCTCGCTGATACCGCTAGTACTCAACATCTCGACCTGTTCGCCAAGCCTAAGTCGATCTGTTCTGTCACCATGAGTAGCGTACGGCGGCAGGCCTTCACGCACAGCAAAAGCTTAAGATCATCGCCGTCGCCGAGGAATTTGGAAATCGCGAAGCGGGAAGACGGCACGATGTGGACGAGTCCTGCGTGCAACTGTGGAGAAAGCAGAAAGAGAGCCTACAAGCCGCGCACCGCAACCGTAGCTCATTTCGTGGCCCCAAGACCGGTGCCTATCCCGAGCTGAAGGTGCAGCTAGTAAAGTTCATCGAAGATGTGAGAAGCAGGGGTCACGCCGTATCGACCGAGATGGCCCAAGTGGAAGCGCGGCGACTTTCGAGGGAGCTAGGCCTACCTCACGAGTTCCGTGCGAGCCGCGGATGGCTGCACCGCTTTATGAAGGGGCAAGGGCTCTCAATCAGACGGCGGACTATATGTCAACGCTTGCCGGCTTCTTATGAAGAGAAGCTGCTCAAGTACCAGAGATATGTAATTGGCCTGCGAAAGCAGCACAATTACATTTTCTCGCAAATCGGCAATGCGGATGAAACTCCTGTTTATTTTGAAATGCCGTTGGACACAACAATTGAGAAGACTGGCAGCAGTTCGGTGAGCGTGCTGACTGGCGGAAACACGAAACTGCGCATCACAGTCTTGCTTTGTGCCCTCGCCGACGGCACGCAACTGCGACCGTACGTCATCTTGAAAAGGAAAACTCTACCAAAGGTTCACTTGCCTGCCGGTGTGGTGGTGCGCGCACACGAGAACGCGTGGATGAACAGTGACTTGTTCGTAGACTGCATCAAGACGGTATGGGAGAAGAGGCCCGGTGCGATGCTCGCAAAGAGGTCCATGCTCGTTCTTGACTCGTTCCGCGGCCACACAACTGAGGAAGTGAAGGACCGCCTTTCACGCAACGGCACCGACTTAGTTGTTATACCCGGTGGAATGACGTCAACTGTTGCAGCCTCTAGATGTGTCGCTTAACAAGCCCTTCAAAGCGTATGTCAAGCGCTATTACGCCGAGTGGATGGCCGAAGGCTGCTAAGACTTGACGCCGACACGACGAGTCCAAAGGCCTGATATTGCCCTATTCTGCAAGTGGATTGTCGAGGCATGGAAAGTTATTCCAGGCGAGATGGTGCGAAAAAGTTTCAAGAAATGCTGCATCACCAACAACATGGATGGAACCAAAGATGACTTTGTGCATAATAGTGAGGACTGCGGCTCAAGTGATAGCTCTAGCGAGAGCAGCGACAGTGAGTGAATTGTGACTGGCCTTGCAGACAGCGTATTCTGCTTGCTAAATAAAGCTTTTTCTGTCTACATATGTGCTATGTTGCTTGAGCAGTAGCTTTTGTACAGCCTTTCCTGTATATCAAATGTGCGGGCAATACGCGAGGATTTTTTTTTCTTTCTCGGTGAGCTGAAAGTGGGGGTGCGGACTATATGCAGGGGCGGGTTATACGCGCAAAAATAAAGTATGAGTGTTTTGTAAGAAAACAACCTGCAGGGTAGCCGAAAACTGATAATGTCTGCAATAACAAGACTCACCTCTGGCACAGTGCTGCCGTAGACTGTACTATATTACTTCATGCATGCACCCACACCTGAGCAAGCACCTTTTCCAATTTCGCTGCTAATTTAAAATTTCGGCACCATCCCTCCCACCTGCTCTGCAGCCCGATCACACCTGAATGCACCCCGATCCATGGTAGCACTGGCTCACTTGAATAAATACACCAATCCTGCGTTCAAATCAGTTTTTTTTTATCACAGTGACTGCACCCTGAACATAGCTCACGGCACCCAAGAAAGTTTAAGAGCACATTCTTTTTTCTTGGTGAAAAAAACGTTGGCACTGCCATGTATTGAATGTTGCTACTCAGGGAAGGCAGGGGAACCTACAGTAGGCAACGCACCACAAGGTGGCCCAGACAGGAAGTTGCATAAGCTCGCATGACCTGTAAGCTTTTGTAGTTGACTACATTATGCCCTAATTATTTACCAATACTCTCTTAGTTACTGTACTTGCTCTCATTTCATTTTTCTCTTTTAACAAGCAGGACGCCAACAGAGTCACTTTGCCAATGTAAGTATAACTGCTACGACTTGTTTCCACACAAAACAATGGTTGGTAGAAGAAACGAGTGTCCTAAGTTTTCTTTGGCAGCCAACAATGACCACTGTAAAACACACTGCATGGACGCGTGCAGCAATACAAGCCAAGCACAAATCCGAGTCCACGCATGTGGCCACCACCGCCATGCATGCTGGGCAACTCATCTGCATTCCCGAGATGCAAGAAATCTTATATGGACACTTAAGTCACAGAGGCTTATAACCTTATTCACAATAAACTCTCATTCAACAGAACCTGAAGGAATCGGGAAAATATGTTCCACTTAACAAGAGTTCGAACTGCTAACAAATGAACAATGGCGCACAATACAAGCGCGAAACCAATCTACTTCTTCCATTTATGCAGTAGTTCCGATCAAGAGATTCCCGCTGACTGAGAATCTACCGTGTAAAGGCTTTTATGGTTTTCTTTTTGAAGTGACCAGAAAAGAGAGAGAATAGATGAGAGGCCAAAAGAAGTGAGCGTAGAAGTTAGTGGCTATATACTGACATCGCTAACTTACGTTACTAACTCATTTATTTTTGCACCTCTCATATTCTGAAGCAGCCCTTTCATAATTTTTAATGCCGCACTATGTACTAGGCCACTATCTATGGTGACCAAAAAATTTGGTCAGACCTCTAAGGTGTTATAATTTCCCTTTACAGTCCCAAAAGGATGCATACCTAATAATGGCACCTTAAACAACCAAATAAAAGAAACCATGACTTCATCTTCAGACAAGGATTGCAGGGTCGTATCCGTCCATACAATCATATTCAAGTCACAAATGCGTAATCTTATTTCCTCATACATACCTTCCACAGCTTTGTAGACTTTCTGGCCCATGCTGTTCTTAATGGTATACTTGTTCTGAGTTTCAAACCCAAGAAATGCTGAAAAAGAACAAAGATTCAATCAAGGCGTCACATTCTGCTCAACATCTCAAACCTCTCACTAAAACCATAAGGCTGAGACAGTGATATATTTTTTCATAAGAGATCATACATGGGTGCTCTAAATGAAATTAATATCCCAATATTTCCAGATACCAATGTAGATACCAATGTAAATAAGTATGCCGAGATATCTCCTCATTGCCTCGCCACGGTGGTGTAGTGGCTAAGGTACTCAGCTGGTGACCTACAGGTCCCGGAACCGAATCCCGGCTGCGGCGGCTGCATTTTCGATGGGAGCGAAAATGCTGTAGGCCTGTGTGCTCACATTTGGGTGCATGTTAAAGAATCCCAGGTGGTCGAAATTTCCGGAGCCCTCAACTACGGATTCTCTCATTATCATATGGTGGCTTTAGGATGATGAACCCCACATACCAATCAATTATATCTCCTCATTCTACAAATTTATGTTGCAATGCCTATGAGTATTGCCAGTACACTTGTAATTAAGGCTGTAATTAGGGATATAAGACAGCATCAAAATGGCACAATAAAGAGCAGTTGCCTCCCACTCAATGCAGATTTTAGTTTTTTTTTTCTTTTTTTAACACCACATAAGCTAGCATACACAATCAGCAAACAGCCAGCAGTTTTTCTACTTTGAATATCGGCCTCTTCAGTATAAGGCAAGATTCCCTCCACTCCGTACAGTTGTTTGGTACCAAGACACAAGCTACAGGAACTTCGCTGCTTTGGTGGTCCCCACATGTTCACAGGAGACCGGAGGGCAATATGGAAACATCCAGGCAGCTCTCTTTGAAAAGTTGGTGGCCTATGTGGGTAGACAGCTAGCCACACTTAACGACTCAAGCTATAACGATAAATGAAAATGCACAGACAAAAGCCTTTGAAAACATTTCATGCTTTGACAAACATTAGCGGTCAAAGTATTAACTACACAATGGGGCAATAGCACTGAACCTCCAAGACTTGATAAATGCATAGCTATTCGTAATTAAGGTTCGAGCTAAGTTTTGTTTCCTTCTGATTTACACTTCCTTTAATGCAGTGCAAATCATTGTAACAAAAATATATACATTTTATCCTTAATGTATCAAGCTTGTCATATAGAAAAATCTTTTCTTTCCAAAGCTCCACATAGCCTCTTGCGGGTCAAATTTTTCACATAAGAGTTATCGCAGTAATTATAGCACTCCGTAATCCCGGACAGATCTTGCAAATGGAAAACGCCTGTGTGCCTTGATCTGCATCTCACTATTGTATAGTGCGATCACAGAAAATGGAACCATGAAGGTTAAAATCATAACACCCATTTCAAGTAACCGGTCGAAAGCACTACATCCCAATGCAGTACACTCAGTCATGAAAGATGACACAACTCACAATTCAAGCACACGAGTGGATCAGATGAAGTGACGGCATAACCACAAGCTCAAGTTACCCTAACTTGCTTCCAATTAATTTGTGTGCAATAGTACAGGACTACTGCACTGTATTGCAACTCTTGGCGTAACCAACTGTATCCATTGTTGCAATAACACCTACTGTAGCATCCTCAGGAGATAGTAGATGCGGGGAGCTAAATAAACGATGCAACTCAACTCACCTTCCAGTATCTCCACTTTCTGGTGCACCAACAGCTGATCTATTGCCGTGAGGTATTCTAAACCGGGCGGGCAGCTTGGAATACCAGGCGACACTCCCATTGGTGCTGGAAAGCATATGACAATGGCATAAGTGAACCAGCTTGTTATTAGACAACCGGAGTTAAACATTTACTGCAGTGCAAAGTGTCAACAACATATGTTTCTGTGTTGAAATATTTCCCCAGATGCATTGTTTAAGAGCTAAAATAGAACCAGGAGAAAGAAATTAAGTTTCATATCTTGCAGTTGACACCTAAAAAATTCACAAGTTCTGATGTCGTTCGCACCTGCTTTACAAGCTTGACAAAGTGCTCCAACACAAACACAAGCGCAGCGATACTATCATAAAGACAACACGCAAGCCCCTGTTAACTCTGTACAGCAGGGAAGCAGTTAAACAAGTTATTCCACTGTCATTTTATATGACAAGTTTATTTAATTACAATGCATCTTGTTTCACATGTCAACAATGAATCCTAAAAAGAGAAACCTAATTCTCTGCTTTGCCAGTTGCACCGACAATTCACATTATTCTGTCACAGTGCTTCACTGACTCATCACAGACACGTTTATTATTATACAGCTGCAGTCTGCAAATTGCATACGTTTCAAAGGCCCGCAGTGACATAAGTTCTGGAAGCCCTTACAGGGTAATAATTCTTCTAGGCCGTCATTACTAGACTGGCTGCAGCTTTAGGTCAGATAACAAGGCGAGGCTGACTTTCACATGTACAGGAACCAATACAAAGTGTGAGTGTGCTTGCGTGTGCGCCTGCATGCAAGGTACAGAGGGGCAAAGTAATAAGCTACACTTTTTAGGCAACGCAGCTTCAATAAACTTGTGAAACAGTGATAGGGACTGAAATGCGCAGCAGGCTGACCAAATGATTTAAAATTCTTATTGAAAAATACGAGTCAGAACTCTTTCCCACTGCAAAGTAAGCACGCACTATACCTCAAAAGCAACAAATGTGAGTACACCTTGCATCGAAATTGAATCTTCAGACTGCCACTTTCACAACTGTTTTTGTATTCCTTAGGTCCCCCAACAAAACATTAGAGCTACCTTTGCAGTGCTTAATAACTAGGGCTCTGTGCTTTCGAATAAACCCCCCAAAAATCCGACAAATATTCTCCAGAAAAATTTTTCACAATTAAAATTTACCTGATAAACTACAATTTTAATGACCTATATGACCGATAAATTGGCCTGTTTGGCCGCTTAACCTCACATTGACAGTACCTCGCAAGATGCACCTATCACGCATTTGAGTAAGGGTTTGTCACTCACAGGGAGAGATGTCATCACATGTAAGGTCCCCGTGGGAGTGCGAGACAGCATCTTATTATACAGTCCCTTTGCAGCTCTTGGGCACACCAGACGGCATCAAATAAATAGACCTCGTAAATTATGTTTGCATCTGTTACAACAAGTGTCAAGGCTATTAGAGCCTTGACACTTGTCAAGGCTCTAATAGGCATTTCGTATTCATTTTGATACATAGGCATTTCGTATTCAAGTATTTGGACGATCAAACCGTCCAGACAACTAATACGTTTTCTGTGTTTTGATGTTATCGTGTTCAGATATCGTTTCACAGGAAATATTGGAGTGATGAGAATGTTACTAAATAAAATCCACAATTCTACAATATTTGTAGATATTGGGAATTCGCAAAAAACAAAGCCCGACTAACGCCGAATTTCCATAAAAATAAACTTCAAAAGACCCCCTCCAAATTTCAAGAAAAGAAACTTTGAAAACAATCAGCCCAATTTATAAGCTACTAAGAAAGCATTAAATTTATGCATTAAGTCCCAAATCTGAAAAGTTTGCCTCAGCCACATAATCATACTATCTATATTTAACAGCCGCATTTTAGCTCCTTGATAGCCCTCACTGACACTATACCTTAAGTTTCAAAAATATTTCTTGAACGAGAGAATTTAGCAGTAATGTTTCCTTAAAATACCACTCACCAGGTTTGACAATTTTGAGCTGACAAGCGCAATATGTAGTTGGGTTGTTCATGATCACGTCAGATAAAATTTGTAACCCCACACGCCGTGGAAACGGGTGAAATTTCAAAATGAACGCTGCTCCCACTTCTTTCGCGGGCCCAGAGAATGAGGGCATGACGTACATGTAGGAATTGCTTTATGCACACGGCAGTGCGGTGACGTTGGTCCTCTTTGTAGATGAATGTGCTCTGATAGGTGCCAACAGTAACACATGACATGGCGAAAATTATTTAGCACGACATGTGTAGCTTATGTAATTTGTTGCTTGAATAGATGAATAAAACATGAGAAATAATGAGATGCAATAAGGAAATAAGCACATCTTTTTTCATTTTTTTTCTCGTGAATTGCAATGAGATGCGGGGCTAATGTGCCTGCGTTTCGCATGCATTCGTGTTTCCGCGGCTAGCGCATCGAGTAGACCAGCTGTGAAAGCGAAAGTAATGCTGCAACGTGTTCGCGCACTCATTGCTAATCTGTTCTACCGTGTCTAAGTGAATGTTGACGCGGGCGCTGGATCATGATATCATCACTCTCGAGCCAGAGCATTGTTGTGGTTTGCGTGCTCAGCAATAGGTTGCAAGCCTGATGATCGGGGTCGGCGCATTCGACATCGCTTGCCGAAGGATGAAGCGCTTGTCAACAAAACAATGCCGCACCCGTGCTCAGGGAATTGGGCTTGTGCGGGCGCGTGATGCACATGCAACCTCTTAGGATGCCGGAGAGGGTAGGGAAGAGATTTCGCTTGCGAAGGCAACGTGGGGCAAGTGGCAAGGGTTTTGAGCTCGCCTTCTCACATCTTCCTTTCGCGCCACTTCAAAAAAACAGTTTTCTCAGCTTATGATGAACCGATTTTAAAAATATTTGTGTCATAATGCTCTTCTTTGGACACGCAACAACTTCAGTTGTCTAAATAAAATTTCTTATGGGGCCTGGTGAGTGGCCCTTTAAATGCTTGCTTCAGAGAACAATCTTAGCCATATAACCTATTCCTTTTTCTAAAAAACATGAATCTCAAGGAATGCATTAAAAAAGAAAGCAGCTCTACTTACCAATCTCTCCGCCAGGAGCAGGGTAACCGCCCCCTCCCATCGCTGGAGGCTGCATGACAGGTGTTCCTGGAGCCATTGGCATAAACTGAACATCTCCCTGTGGAGGTGGATAGCCCATAGCAGGTGGATAACCACCCTGCATAGGTGGAGGGTAGCCTTGGGCAGGTGGTGGGTATCCTTGGGCAGGTGGTGGGTAACCTTGGTCAGCAGGGTAACCGTGAGGGTAGCCTGGACTAGGCGGTGCATAGCCCACATTAGGTGGTGGGTAGGCCTGAGCTGGTGGGTAGGCTCCATCAGCAGGAGCATAGGGAGGATAGCTCATGTTGTAATCACGAACTTGGTGCGATCAGCTGTGATAACCTGCACAAAGAATATTGCTCTAGTTAGATCTACGATATAAAATAACGAAAAAACATAACCGCCATGAAGGCGTAGCTGTATTCAACGACAACAGGCACCGCCAAGTGATCAGCGTATTTTAAACCAAAGGTGCAATTTACCCTTAGCTACTTTCAAGCGTAACGGCGCTGTTGGACAAATACGTGCTTGGAAATGAACATCGATGCATCGTCCCTAAACAAACAGTACAAGAGAGCGTCTTTTCTGCGCCAGGTAACTTACCTGCTCTAAAGAGATCTGTTTCTTCGACAAAATATAAAATATGCCTTCAAACTGGTAGCATGGTTCTGTCCCATATGCGCACAAGCCATAAACACCGACAATTTCCTTTCAGCAGTGCATACCGAACGATTACATGTGTCTGTATACATAAGGTTTACAAGAAACACCTAACATGCTCTAATAGCTGCAGTCCCACAGCGCACTGACGTGAAGCTCAACTGCAAGCAAGCTCGTTCCTAGTCACATTGCACTGTCCTCGGTCAAAAAAAAAAAAAAGAAAATAGTCGTACGCACACGTCAAGGTTTGCCCTGCTTGCCTACAAATGTCATCAGCTTTGCGGCGGCATCTACGTGCATGCTATGTGCCGCTCCGACCTTCCTTGTTCCGCGACTTTAAATGCCGCAAAAAGGCGAAGTGGTGAAATGAAGGAAACAAGAACATTCATGCATGTCATAAGATAATATTTCAGGAACAGGCCTGTAAGCGGATGCCGGCCCAAATTGCCGAGATAGCCTAAGAATTGATATGCAACTGGAAAAAGAAAACGGAGACAGGAAAATACAAATCGGTCACCTACGTATACTATTTCGTTGCTGCTGCGCAAACCCCTGTTAAAGGGTGACAGATCGACCAAAGTTGTACTTACAAAAGACAGGTTGCTCGTCTTCCTGGCAATCGAAGGACTGTAGCACAGAACACTCTAGCCCACGCACTACTAGCGACCGGCCCTGTTCTGTAAACAAACCAATTCAGCTACACACACATAATTCGCACGACAGCTACAAGAGACTAGCGAAGTGGCGAGGAGGGCGTGTCTAGCGAAAACCAGAGCCAACCCAGCACATAGTATCGCATAAAGCAGTGCTGAAAACCAGTGCAGACGCGGCAGCCTCTTTACAAGTGTATCCAACTGAGCACTTATATCAACACTTTCTTCTCACAATGTTACGATATTGTTTTTAAATGCTTTGGCTAGTTTCGACAATGCAGGCCCAAAGCGGCAAGCAACCATATAAGGACAGAGAACAAGTAGTTCTGGTTTCGTTTCCGTCGTTTGTGGAATGAATTGTTTTGACCGTTTTTCTGAAGTTTTACGCGAAAGGATAAAGGATAATATACAATATTTGCGCATTGTAATTCTAATTTATATATATATATATATATATATATATATATATATATATATATATATATATATATATATATATATATATATATATATATATATATATATATATATATATATATATATATATATATATATATATATATACACACTTAGTTTCTTCTCATATTCAGGACGCAGTAATGTGGCTCAGGGGTGCACTTAGGAATATTTTCATAGAGGAGGAGGGGGGGGGGGTATGATGTATGTCCGGCCCTTTATGTATGTTCGTACGTCCTCGCATACACACACACAAAATGTTAAATTTCAGGAAGGTGGGGGTTGAACTCCCTACTGGCAACGACACTGACGTGGCTCTTCACGACGAAGAGATGAGAAGTTGTGCTCATATATATTCAGCCTTTGACAGTCGTGCACTTATAAGTCGGCATTTGGAGACAAATGTAGATCTTATAGGGATGAGCCCTACTAAGTCCATCTTCCGGTTAGCAGGTCATGCCTGAACTTTTGAGAATTGAGTTTCCCAACTATGTATGCACCTTCGCACCTCTATTAGCCTCACTATCTAAAACTTATAAGCTAGCCCAAATAGCAGCAACAGCAACAACAACAATAACGCTGAACTGCTACAACACAACGTTTATATCGCGGTATTTTCATCGGTGCGCAAACATTCTAAATAATTTTTACACTGACTGGAAGACGTTTAAATACTAGCTATAGGCTTCACCAGTTTTTCAAGGTACTCAAACATAAATTGCAAAATTTAAATATCAATCTACGGTGGTGCGCTTGAGTGAAAACCATCAAAATATATAGTTTGCATTTATACGAATCGCAAAACACATGCTTTCCTTTTTTATTTTGTTCGATTCAGTATGTATTGACTGTAACCAAACGGCTGGCTAGATATGATGTAAACTTTCCAGAAAACTAATGTGCGCATTCTCCATATGACTCTTCAACCTTTGCATTCGAGAGCTCGGTCTTCTGTGCTCCCGTCAATTCAAACACGTGTATCTGTGCCGCTAGCGGAGACGATCAGGATTTAAGAAACCACATGCACTTACCGCATTGTGTTTGACAATGTAGATCTGTTGGAGGCTTGCTAAACCACACATAATAATGTCACTGTTACATAAGAATAAGAAAAAACGTCATGTCGCCGTTTATACGTTCCGTAACAACCCGAACGGTTCACACGTCATACGCCCCCAACCGACAATGCCTTCCAGCAGAAACCGCCATCTATGGACTCCGCGGCGCTTATCAGCACGATGCTGCGCCCTTAAAAGGCATCCGATCTCGCGTTTTTCCTGCTCTACAACGACGACCGGCCGAGGATCAACGGTGAGTGCGTGCAGAGACTGAACAGCTTTTGATGCGCGATTCTTACGAGTGGCTGTGGCTGCTGAATATGGTTGTTGCTGCGCGTTGTTCTTCGCTTGAGCAATCAGCAGTCCGAGCAAGAGCAAAGAGTGATGACAGCCTGCGTAGCACTTGTATATATAGGAAATTTCGTAATTAGGACGTGAACGCGACGTTACACGTCTAACTTTTCAAAAAAGATCGATCTTTACAGGCAGCAAGTGTGACAAGGTCGCGATCGCACGCGTCAGTGAACGGCTCGTATACCCTTCTACGTGCTGCCGTTCTCACCGAGGAAACTTGCTATAATCGGCATCTCCCCCTAAAGTGGCAGTATTATCTAACACCAACGTTTTGTAGTGTTACGCGAGACTGATTCTAAGAGAGTTGGCTGCCAGCCTTACTTCGTTGCTATCGCGTTCATTGCTTCGTGTATGCGGTGAAGCTATGAATTTCCTAACGTTAACGTTCCTAACTGTTCAATTGTGATTGGCAATCATAATCACGATGACGAAGACGACACTTCTTACTGTGCACAGTATCAAAATGCTTAATATCAATATTATTAATTTATTGAGCGTTCTTTACTTACTATCAATGATAATAAATTAACGAGCGCCATTTTTATACAAAAAAAAACATTCGCATTCAAAGAGTTAACACCATCTTCACAAAGGGAACCCTAATGGGATGCGAAGCAGCAGCGTTGCGCACGGATGGCATCATGAGTTGAACGGCGCTAACGTAGGTGCTGCGGTGAGCGCTGGAAGATTCGTTTACTCGAGTAAACATTGGTTTGAAACGCAAAGACACGGGAGACGGAGACGGCTTGGGTTTCGTGTAAGTTTCATAGCAGTTAAAAGCTTTTCCACTTGACATGCGGTCGAACGTCGCGGGTGGTGGAGAGGGTTAAGAGAGAGAAGTGTGTTGCGAGTGGGCGGAGGGTCCACAGCTGCTGCGGGTGAGGGAGAGAGTGACGTCATTGCGCAGCTGCGACTTTACCTACTTGGCACAGCTTCAACACCTGTGGCGATGGGGTTCGTGTGGACGTACGGGACAGAGTTACGCAGGCAAGCCAAAGAGATGTTTCGCATCTAATGTAACACTTCTGCGTTGGCTCCGATCTAAGTGATTACCAGCACGCCCTTGTACGCAGCAACAGCGCACACTCTGTGTCGGTTTTTGATCGGGTAAAGTAGGAACAAAAGAGAAAAAAATCACGGCATATCCACGGAGTGAATGATAATGAGTGGGGCGAAGCGTCCGTCAGACCGTCTGTGCTTCTGTCCATCTGTTCGTTCTTCATTCCGTCCGTCCGCGTGACCATCCGTGCGTCCCTCCGTGCATCCGTCCGTCTGTCCATGCGTCTGTCCGCGAGTCCATCCATCCGTCTGACCATCGTTCGTGCGTCCATCCGTCCACACGTTCGCGCGTCCATCCGTCCGTCCACCCATCCGTCCGTCCGTCTGCTAGTCTGTCCGTCCATTCATGCGTCCGTCCGTGCGTCCATGTAGTGAACACTTTAAGTACTGCCAGATCGCATCCCCTGAGGCACTTGCCGCTCTAGAGCGGGTATGTGCCACCGGTCGCTACTTACTACTACTACATATATCGGAGGATGTACAAACCCACACCTAGGAGCTTCGCCCCTAAAATTGTTTTAAAAGCAAAATTCTCATTCAGCATGGGCTTAGTGCATTCCGACTGCGAACAACCCATAGATTCGTAACTAATAGGTCTTGTACGGTTAGCAGGGAGTGCCGTGCCCGACATTATAACTAGGCTACATTTTCTTCAGCAAGCAACTTTTGTGTGAGTGAAAGACTGAATAAAAGATGGGGTGAAACCACCTTCTCAAAATGAATGCACCACAGCACAAGGTCTGGTACACCTCTGAATACAGCTCGTAAAAATATCACGGGATACGTCATGCGAGCAGACAGAAAAAAAAAAGTGTTCCACTTCCCGTCATGGCGCTGATCAATGCGTCCTGGTTTAAATTCTCAAATATATTCGATGAAGAGGACGGGGGGACAACCGCCTCCGGTAGCTGAGTTTGTAGAGCATCGGGCACGTCATTCGAAGTTTGCAGGCTTGGTGCCTGCTGGCGGTAAGTTGTCTTTTTGTCCAGTTTTTTTTTCCTCACGTGTATGTCGCGTGTACTACAAATAACATCCGCTATACTTTCTTTGCCTTGAATGTCCGTTGGCTCTCATCGACTATCTACATTAAAAAAAAAAAAAGCGGCGCATAATGGCGGCACAAGGAACCGAACCCAGCACTTCTCGCATTTGGAGGCTGAGACTTTATGTCACATGAACACGAACACTGCTGGGGTAAGGCATGACGCCCTCTTTCAAGACAACTGTAGTTCCTTGTTTTGGTATATGAACAATTAGGTTCTTTTTAACCCTACTGTCTGGCTGTTCATTGAATCGGCGTGGGGGGGGGGGGGGGGTGCCACCCTACCTGAAGGGGACCGGCAGTGTCGAGTTTCATTTTGTGCTTTATATGTCATGAAAAAAAAAAATCGGGCAAAGGGGGTGCTCGTGCTCAGTGTACCGCTACTGATAGAGTCTACAACGATCAATCAATAATTGATTTCAATGAATTTCTAGAACCGTAGTGGTACCCGCATCGTTTTGAATACATTGGACGCTTGCAGGGCCATGACCCGAGTCGTTTTTTATCTGAAGTGCTGCAGCATGTAAACACTGGAAAGCTAATTTAGTGCCCAGAGTTTCTTGTACATACCTCCGAGTGAAATGTGGACTTGCCCGCGTAGTTGTGTAAGTCGTCCTGCACGATGGCTTTCACTCTCTTGCATTACATTATTCGTCCTATTATTTTTTCTGTATTATTATTATTATTATTATTATTATTATTATTATTATTATTATTATTATTATTATTATTATTATTATTATTATTATCCTATAACGCTAACTAGACTTTTAGCCAATTAAGGAGTCAGTGAACGCTGTCACGAATAGTGGTCATTCGGTCAATCTCTTAGAGATTCGACACAATAAAGAGAGTGAATTAGAAAGTGGGGATGGGGAGAGGGTGACACACATTTAAGGACGAAGCCATTCAGGGGTCCAGACTGTCGTCTCATATGTTGTCTCGTTTCATCACCTGACTTCGCGCTCAAAGTACCAAAGTATATCAAAAGAAGGAAGGCATATCTATATCCAAATAGGTGACTAGAGACTGCCACTGCATCTCAAATGAAGGTTTCCTCTCGTCATGAACGCCGAACAGGCTGCGCGTGTGGAACGCAAGCGCCGGGCATTAGACGCAGATCTGTGGATGAGAGAAGCGGAGGCGAAACTCCAGCGAATGCCAGGTATACTCTCCAGCCTCGGAAGACTCAGACGCAAGCTGAGAGTCGACAAAGACAGGTGAACCCGCAGCTTCGACTCGGACGAACACAAGCCAAGCGTACACAGAGGCATGGCGAATCCTCAGGTGTGCTCCGCAGTTTGTAGTCTTCACGGTGTGGCACTGGTGCGAATTTTTTCGTCCCGAATTTGCGTACCTGTCACTTCCAGCACATTACCCTAAAGCCGTTAGAGTAAACAGGAAAAAAGCTAATGTACAAAAAGTGTCACGTCTTCTAGCGCGAGCACTTGGTGAAATGTGTTGCTTCAACAACGGCGCAATACATCCCCGTGCAAAGGGCTAAGCGATACCGAGGCCCTTGATATTTCTACGGCAAGCAAGAGAAAGATCAAGCTGCACTTCGGTCGCCCACATAGGACGAGATAAGCTGTCGCTGTTGGTATGACGACCGATACCATATATAGGATATACTTAGCGGCACGTCGATCCACGAGTGCTTGTGTCACGAGAATGTGCAAGATATGGGAATAAAGTGCTTGCACATGGCGTTGCTGCTTTGCCTACGCCGTTCTCTTGCCACGCCGCTTTTATTAGATGCGTAAGTGTGATGTAGACCATGTAGTCACCACCAATATAGGACACGCGAAGCCTATACAGGTAAAAGACACGTACACCGAGTTATTCGAGAAAGAGTATGATTGGAAAATTATGTGTATTTGCAGGTGGCAAGGTGCGAATGCATAATAAAGCCACATAAAACTGTCTATGATCAGTGGTAGCGATAATATGGCACAACACAACTGCTTGAAAGAAGACTATTGATGGTACATAGTGCATCAAGCATTCGTCTACTAGTTAACAAGCATGACTCCAAGCGCTCACGAGAAACACAAACCGATTACATTTGACGAATACCCGTTGTCGCAACCATAACGTGAGAAGCAGCAGGGGTGGGAAGTAAGCAAACGTTTTACACTGTTTCAGTGCCGCCTCGGAAGCTTTGTGTTGATGCGGCATCCGACACTGCATGCACACTGAGTCTGTGAACTCAGAGCTCATAGAAGAGTGGTTGCAAAGGCTCGCTCAAACTTTGAATCCGCTGCAAAGGCACGCACGGGCTATCGCCCAGGCGCACGGAGAGCGAGCGAAGCCTCGACGTGCGCTAGCGAAGGACACGCGCGTTCATCTCAGCCAAATGATGATTAAATTGCGGAAAGTAGCACGTCACAGCAGTGATACAAGCGATTACGGACGCGCAAACCAAGGCTGTTGCGCAGGAGGAGAAACAGTGACAGTGAAGAATTTTCGCAAGACGCAATGTTCCTTCTTGCACTTGGTGGACATGGTTTGAGAAACACTGGAAGGCCTTTCCCAATAACACACAATTTATCCCAACTTGCACGACTTAATTTAATTCCGTCCCTGCGATTATCGCTTCATCTAACGCGCGCTGCTTTCCCCGGCTACTTCTTCCTTGCCTTGGGTATCCACTCTGTACGAAAATCGTAAACTTGAAAGGATGGAAATAGGAAGGGGCAGTTGCCTGCATACTCTCAAAAGGCTAGATACGCCACCAACTTGCAACTGCCTACTCCTCCTCTAGTTTAACACCTGTTGTCTGTCCTACGCATTTTGTGGCAAACCCAGGCGCACCTCTTTCACTTATTATCAACTACAGCATCAGCTACACCTGGTTGTTTGGTAATATAGTCCCTCCCAATTCCTTAAAGGTTACGCTTAGAAATTGTTGAGGCTCGTGTGCTGGCGATGTCAGCGCAAGAACACCAGATGGAATCAAAATTTCCGAAGCCCTCCACTAACGACTAACGGCGTCTCTCATAATCATATCGTGGTTTTGGGGCGTAAAACCACAAATAATAATAATAATAATAATAATAATAATAATAATAATAATAATAATAATAATAATAATAATAATAATAATAATAATAATAATAATAATAATATTATTATTATTATTATTATTATTATTATTATTATTATTATTATTATTATTATTATTATTATTATTATTATTATTATTAATAAGCGCACACCAATTTCACTTTCATCAATAGCTGCGTGGTCATGAACTTTTTCTTGAGTTTCGTAATTATCATCCAAGTATCTGCCTCATGCGTTATAACCAGAGGTATACAATACACACATACTTTTCGTTTTAGGAATCGACATCAGATAGCCTATCATGTTTTGGTAATGCATGCTGTATGTGCTATACGACCTGTACTCATTCTTAGATGGATCTCCGTTTCATGAATAGGCTACTGGATTCCGGTAACACATTTTTGTGCAGACTCCACTAGTTGGCTTCCACTAACGCATTCTTTTATCTTTCGCCAAGCTACTGAGCACTGACTTTCTCTTCAGCACATATTCATGTTTAGCCCTGCATTTATACATTCCTGGTTTGGGTCTCCAATCATTCGTCGCTATTCGTCGTCATCACTGTTCAGCGCACAGAAAAGCAGGCTCTGCGCTTGCCTGGTTCGCTTCTCATGTGCGACGCTGACATCGGAGATGCAGAAACAGCTCGCCCCGCCACACGTGTTTGCCTGCGCGTTGAACCATTCAAGCGGTCGTCACGCGCTCTCGCGTTCAGTTGCTGTTTCCTCAGAGCAGCACGCACTCGCCGTCTCGTTTGCACGCTCTACAGACGCGGATGACAGTTGCGCAGGTGAGCGACACCTTTCTCGGGTTTCACGAGACGCCTTTGTTATGTTTCGGTATTCTCAAACAAAGATAACTGAAAAGAATCACAGCATATCCACGCAGTGAATGCTGATTGGTGGGGCGAGGCGTTCGTCAGTCCGTGCGTCCATTCGTTCTTGCTTCCGTACGTCCATGTGTCCGTCCATGTGTCCGTCCACGCGTCTTTCAGTCTGTCCGCACATCAGTGTGACCGTCGGTGTGTCCGTCCGTCCGTGCGTCCGTCCATGCGACCGTCCGTACGTTCATTCGTCTGTCTGTCTGTCTGTCTGTCTGTCTGTCTGTCTGTCTGTCTGTCTGTCTGTCTGTCCACCCGTTCGTCCGTCCGTCCGTGCATCTGTTCGTGCAGCCATCCCTCGGTTGGTACGTCCGTCCGCGCGTCGACCCCTCTGTCTGTCCATCCGTTTGTCAGTTCGTCCGTCTATCTAGTGAACACTCCAAGTACAGCCATCCCACATCTCTCCGTCATGTATTCATCATATTAAAGTGCCGCCATTTCAGAGAACATTCTAAGAACCACTCTTTCGGGTAGGTACCGCTGGTGGTTACGCACTACAACGAGGGACGCTCAAGCCACGCCATAAGGAGTTTCGTGTCTAAACAACAACAACAAAAAAACTTGTTAGGAATGAAGAGATAGTGAGCACGAGGTTTCGAGGATTGAACTCTGCAACTGCCGCCTTCAACTTGATGCGGCTACATAAAGCCACTAAGGTAATTACCACAGCATGGTATCTTTCACGTGGCAGACACACCCTGACACACCCAACGTACAAAAACACATATATGTTATCAATGGCAGCCTACGAATACGCTGACGAGGATTTGTTACTTGTGCAGTTGGCGCAGTAACTTAGACCTGTACTGCGCCATTTTCCGCATATTAAATGGCGTAAAGCACAAGTACTAGCGATTCTGTCGGTAAGTACACAATTATCGACATGAGTACACACGCACACCATAAGCGTGCTTACTAGAAGGTAGGGGAGGAGGGGAGGAAACGTAAAGCTTGCCAAAGCGCCATGGCACCCAATTTTCACTTTGGTTTTCGCAAACAAACTGGCGAAATTTCAGGTCATTCGGTCAAGAACTTGATTTATAACGAATTTATTTATATAAACGCACGAGTGGCCCGAGTGTCTGGCAGCACTGACGTCCTCGCGCGCCGTGTCAACAAGTCGCTCGCTTTGCGATCGCCTGTATTCCGGACAACGATTTTCTTTCGCGGTCAACTGCACGTACAATGGAGCTATTATGGCTGGCTTGAGCTAGGCGTTTAAAACTGAGTGATTTGAAGCGTCTGAAGCTTAGTTAGAAGACGACTGGCTGCACCCCGTGAAGCTCATCACGTCGCACACGCCATGACATAATGGCGGTCGCCGGTGGTGTCAGTACATTCTTTATGTATATGTAAAGGCGTAGTATAGACCTCTTCATTTGTATTTTTAGCTGAAAACTGCAATCGGGTGCGGGACCGTGTCTTGACCGCTTTAATATAGAGAAGGAGAAGACGTTGCAATAAAGCTTTGCACCCCGCCCCCTTCAAAAAGGAAACTGGGCGCACGCCTATATCTACAACTGTCCAATTGGCGATAATCAGGCAGGTCTGTCGCTTAAAATATGGGAACATATACGTAAAATACGGTATGCGAGCGAACGAGCGTACGTCAAGGCATGTGTTCACGGGCCTGCATGTCATTCCTCTATGAATTCTGAGCATGAAATTTCGGCGAGGATTTTTCTAGTTCACGCACAGTTACGGAGAGTTCGCTGCTCAATTAACACAATGAGATTCCTGGAATTTTAACCGTCTCCTTCGTTTACTGGCTTCGGTTTGGTGGTTCTGCTGATTCCGTAATATGGGTACACGAATCAGTGTCTTTCTTTGTCACCGCATATATACATTTCGGAGGTGTCGATAAACTGATCATGCATGCTTTGGCTTAGAATGAAACACTAGGAACACCGACAACGACGCCAATAAGGCAACGCACAAACTTTGTTCAAAAGTGGGACGGACGTTTTCGTCTTTTTTTTCTTCTTGAAATAAATAATATATCCCCAGTGCACACACGCTTCGAAATAAGTCGTGTAACTCAGCTTCCCGCTCAATTTTTTTATGTCATGGTATACTCGCCGCCCCGCCGCGGTGGTCTAGTGGCTAAGGTACTCGGCTGCTGACCCGCAGGTCGCGGGATCGAATCCCGGCTTCGGCGGTTGCATTTCCGATGGAGGCGGAAATGCTGTAGGCCCATGTGCTCAGATTTGGGTGCACGTTAAAGAACCTCAGGTTGTCAAAATTTCCGGAGCCCTCCACTACGGCATCTCTCATAATCATATGGTGGTTTTGGGACGTTAAACCCACATATCGATTGATCGATCAATCAATCAATCAATCAATCAATGGTATACTCGCCACTTTTCTCCTACATCTATTTCCTGCAACGTGAACGTATTCCTTTCGTGGGCATGCATGTATGTTTGCACCAATGTGTTCATTTACAAACATGTTTATATGCTCTAGCTACATTAATTCAACTCTTCTCATAATTAACGAGGGATGTATAACGTGACATGTATACTTGCCCCTGCATGATATGATGTGGCACGTTCGTGTAACTCTATGGAAGTGGTTGAATCATACCACTATCATCAGTTCTCAACATTACCAAAGGCGCGATTACGCAGCATGTTTTCCTTTGCGATGAGGCTGAAAGCAAGCGGAAACTTCGAAAAAAAAAATGCCGCCATATCCACGAAGTGAATGATGATGAGTGGGCGAAGCTCCGGAGGTAAACCTGGTAAACCATGAATCCTCCGTACATTTTGCCCACTCGATTTTATTGCAACGCTCCCCCTAGCGTACGTCGCCGCACTATATCGAACGATGACACGCGCCATATGTGGGCATCATTCCTATTTTATAACACCTCGCATCTTTCATAATCAACTACACGTACCGCACCGCCGTCTAGTTTATAACATCTTGCATCTTTTGGACGGACGGACGGACGGGCGGACGGACGGACGGATGGATGGACGGACGGATGGACGGACGGACGGACGGACGGACGGATGGACGGACGGACGGACGGATGGATGGATGGACGGACGGACGGACGGACGGACGGACGGACGGATGGATGGACGGACGGACGGACGGACGGACGGACGGACGGACGGACGGACGGACGGACGGACGGACGGACGGATGGACGGATGGATATGGCTGTACCTTTTAGATCGGGCGGTGGCTAGCGTAATACTTAGAACTGAACGAGAGGTGGCTACATACAGGGGACGCACAGCCCACGCCTTAAGGAGCTTCGCTCCTAAAAAGAGAAAGACACACTGTGATGTAAATTTCACATATCACCACCCAGCCGATTGGCTCCAATCAGTGATGTAAAGAGAATCACATAAATATCAGCACTTTCACACTATTGGTGCGATTAAAACATCATAAATGCGTCTTTTTCATTACTATTATTGTATTCTGAACATTATGCATTGTATGTAGGCTTACTAGACGAAGTACATGCGGGCATTTACGATTGGAGAGGGCATTGTTTCATGCAGCAAATCATGACTGGAAATCTCACTCGACTGCAGTGTACAATTTTATCAGGATCTCGACTTGACAGAGAGCAAGCGCTAACTGTTGCGAAACGAACACCCTCGCATACTGCTCCTACACATCTATGAGGCCACGGTGTAAGAATATGAGGCTTACGTGTCGTCCATATGTGCAGCTTCCAATCTCATTTCCATCTACGCTTATTTACCTGCAGCTCCTGATTCGCAAGAAGATTTCTACGGAGAAGCAGACGCCACCTATATAGGAGCCACCATGATGAACCCGTCGCACATACCGCCAGGTCTCGAGTACCTTGGCATGATCGACCAGGTGATCATTAAACAGAAAGTGCAGCTACTAGAAGGTATGGCATGCATATATTGCTGTAGTCAATGTGGGCGGAGCCTTAGATTTCGGAGCACGTAGTTCGGGAACGGCGTCTACCCTTTTATAGGTTTTCACGGCATTGACAGCGACTGGGATCAAAAGCCCAACAAAATGCTTTCTTCTAGCATAATCCCCAATTAGTTTTTTGTATGTGTGCACAGAGACAACTCGCATCGCGGGGGTTGAGACGCTCTGAAACGATGTCCTCTAAAGTCGTGTCGGTAGTATACTGGCCGCAATTCCCCGACGTGGTGACCGCATCACGAAGATGTATGCATGACCGAACAACAACAACAAAAAAAGGCCACTCTGAACTACATTTCTCCAGTTGCACGTTAACGAAATACAAGTTACGTTACGACTACATGTAGTTCCATTCAATCGTCTATACTCCCTCTTTCTCTTTGTTTTCTCTTCATTTTAACTGATCGTTCATTCTTGCCCATCAATACAACTTGCGGTTTTGAACCAGATATTATAAAACGGACTATATTGAACTATTTTTTGTGAAGTGAGCCCAATGAAGTATCGAAACTAACTAACTAACTAACTAACTAACTAACTAACTAACTAACTAACTAACTAACTAACTAACTAACTAACTAAATAAATAACTTGTACCTTTGCGTTAGTCTATAGAAAGCGCAGGGGATTCTTTTGTTTGTGCATTTGGCTCAACTGTCCTGTTCGTACAATGGTGAAAATGTACGAAGTGCCATAAATGCATATGCGGACAAGCACGGTGTCACATACATGCTGCGTAGGCCCACGTGCATGGTGCTAAAGATTACTATTTTGGGCGTCCTTGCTTTGTTACAAGAGCTGTAATGCCTCCGCAATCGATAAGTGATTCAAACGCGCGTATCGAATATACGTCAATTCACCAACAAAGAGGAAGGGCTGATTGTAAAAGCATCGGCCTACTGGAGTTAGTCACAACGTTGGTCGCATACCATAAGATACACGACTATTCTGCTATTGTTCGGAAATTGCGTGCACCACAAGTAATGCAGTACACGTTGCTCGATGCACGGCATTTAGTGTTCTCCATAACACGTGAAGTTAAGTACGTTGTGACACTATTAGATCAAGGCAAAGTGTGGTACGTCAGAGAGTAAAGCATGTTGAAGCTCAAGCGAAAAAAAAAAAGACACCGGAAGAATAGAATATAACGCAGGTCCGTAAACGTCATATCAGTGCAAGCCCTTATGCGTCAGACAGCAGTAAATTGTTCTCGTCACTTCGTTTCACGGAAATATCGACTGGACTGCAACAGATGTGCTTGGGCGCGAAACCTTCTTTTTATGAGCTACAAGGCAGCTGCAAGATTCGGTGATAAGGCGGCATATTTGCGCAAGCAGATAGGTAACGGTCGATAAAGAGAGCCATTCTGACTCATTTCGTATTATATGTATCCACTAAGAACACGCGCTTGAACGCTCATAAAGCACGCCTTATGTGTCGATATACGACTATTTCATGAATGCGTGCAAGTGCTTTGTTAATTTCAAGCCACAATGCTTTTGACTGATGAAATTACTCTTGTAAAAGGGCGATATGGTGGTACCAATGGATTAAAAAGGTCACACTAATCTAAACATAACTGAGGCCCCATTTGTTTGTATTTGTCACCGAACTCGAGTTGTGACCAGAAAGCTTATGTTGCATAAATCCTTATACATGGCTATATGTAAGCATCTAACTGCATGGCGAACTTATCAAAACTGGGGGAGAAAGCTTGATTGGGCAGGCCACCGGAAGTTGCTAGCGGAACCGTACACAACTAACCATATATATACATTACATCCATGAGTGGGCTTAAAATCATTGAGCTTAAAATAAAATTGCCCTGACGCGGTCTCTAATTTTTTGTTTATTTGGATCACATGGAGGACTTCAAAGTGAATACACGTATAATTGCTCTCGAAACCAAAACAACATTGTTTGAAGTTTTGATTTTAAAGCTATGCGAAAGTCTTAAAACACAAATACATGTGCGGCGGGATGACGAAACTTGCGTCAGCCGAAAAACAAAATATATTACGGAAATGTGCGGATAAAACGTCACTATAAAGTATTCGCCGGGACGTCCATAAGCGTAAGGGGGCAGGAAAAGGCTAAATTTCGCCCATACCACCGCCCCCCTTCCCCCACACACACACCCCGATGAAGAACCTTTTAGTCTTTATTTTATTCACCATGACATTTCTAGAATCGACTATTCGGTCGATAAATTGATATGACACAAATCTAAAAAGAAGTGTGACACTGTATATATGACGCATTTCTTTACTATTGACAACTAAAGTGGCACTAATTGGGCTGTTTGCCTGATCGTAGTAAGCAACATCTCGCTGTTGGCTTCTTACTTTTCAGTGTTCACCGGCTACGAGACAGCGAACAAGTACTCCATCAAAAACAGCATGGGCCAGGACATTTTCTTCGCTGTTGAAGGTAGGCATATTCGACTATACCGATGCAATCAGCGGATTTGTCCAACACTATTGTACGTCGAGTACCAAGCACACTCATCGGCCGTCTGATTGCTCGAAGTTCCATTCGCGGAAACTGAGTCATTCTTTAAAGCTGCAAGTTTCATCACAAAGTTGTCGGGCCGCTGCAGGACACCGTTGAGCCACGTATGAGTCGTGTTGGAATTAGCGATCGGTTACTCGTCTCACATTTAAAATGTGCGGCACAGACGCGCCATGGTGGTCTAGTGGCTAAGGTACTCGGCTGCTGACCCGCAGGTCGCGGGATCAAATCCCGGCTGTGGCAGCTGCATTTACGATGGAGGCGGAAATGTTGTAGGCCCGTGTACTCAGATTTGGGCGCACGTTAAAGAACCCCAGGTGGTCGAAATTTCTGGAGCCCTCCACAACGGCGTCCCTCATAATCATATGGTGGCTTTGGGACGTTAAGCCTCACGAATCAATCAATCAATCAAAGGTGCGGCACATGTATCCAAATATGCACGACACGTGTAAAATCATGGGGATTATTTAACAAATGCTGACCAGCGCCGCCCCATTGGGACACCGGGTAGGCTTAAGAGTAAAGAAGTGAGTCCCTCATGTACCGGCTGGTGCAGAGGGGGACGAGGAACCTTAAGCTATCTGCAATCGCTTAGCACATGTACACGCGCTATCCGCACAGGAACACCGCACGTACCAGGACACCTGCCGCACGCAAGCGGAGGGCGAAAGGGCCTCGCGAAAGAGCGTCGCCGAGAAGCTCTTTCGCCCCCCGCTTGCGTCCTGCAGTGCCGTGCTCCCTACCGGGCTGCAGAAATTCCTCTTCTAACCACTACCACCACCACCATAGGCGGTAGCCGGTGGGGCAGTGGAGGGAGGTGGGTGGTACGTTTCTGAATCGCCGAGAGTGTCGCGAGAAAGAGCGCTACTCGAGCACTCCTTTTCGCTCTTTCCGCCCACTCGCTCCCTTTCCGCATCGCAGGATAGCAAACCAGACGTGCGCGTAATTAAACTCTCTTCCTTGCCTTCCCCTCTCTCTGTACAACATGGTCAACTGCTTCTGTTACCTAATTTTTCAGTAGATTTATAGATTGATATGTGGGGTTTAACGTCCCAAAACCACCATATGATTATGAGAGACGCCATAGTGGAGGGCTCCGCGAATTTCGACCATATGGGGTTCTTTAACGTGCACCCAAATCTGAGCACACGGGCCTACAACATTTCCGCCTCCATCGGAAATGCAGCCGCCGCAGCCGGGATTTGATCCCGCGACCTGCAGGTCAGCAGCCGAGTACCTAAGCCACTACACCACCACGGCGGGGCTAATTTTTCAGTAGACTATCGTTTATGCACTAAACGCAAGCGTAGAATATCGTATCGTCTCTTACTTTAAAAGATTGCAAGCATTGCGAACTATACGTCCGAAAATACGGCATACTAAGTAGATGATAAAGATATATCTAGAAGAGATGCTAAGCATCTCTTCTAGCTTTATCTCATACCGCCCGTTCATCCGGGTTACGCTCCCGCGCTTCGTAAACGCGCCACCGTGCCGACAAGCTGTCCCACGTTTGAGGAAACGGTGCCAGCCGCATGCCTACACGAAATGTCGATGCACTGACGGGAATGCAAAGGCGAGACGCGCACGCCAGGCGTCTTGCAACACCACCGTCTCCCCCTCATCTGCGGGCTTCCCAGCTATTTTCGGCAATGGTCCTCGTCGCCTTCGACTCACTGACGCTTCATGCCAGCGCCGAATTCCATCACGTGCAACCACCGAATTAAATCGGAACAAGCATGAGAGGTCGCTTCGATGCCTTTTAAGAGAGGCAGCTGGTGGCGTACTGGTCATCCACTGTAGAAAATTTGCACTCAACTCTGCAAAATTTAGTGAGTTTAGCTTTGTCTTACACACTTCGCTAAGGCCCGTCTTTCACGTTGCCACATTTAATAGGTGCAGTTCATTGTTTCACGCATGATCACCGTTGCTGCTGACAGCAGCAGAGGTATTGCGATGCTAATCACGTCGGTGCGTGTATGATTCCAGTATGAAAAAAGTAATAGTTAAGGAGCGAGCATTGCGCAAGGAGATAGAAAGAAAATTAAAATAGTAGATCAAGCAAGCACACGCCAACGTTCGCTTGCCTCTGTTTCCTCGATAGCGAAAGGGTTCCTAATCAAGTTTAATCATCAGCCAAAAGGTCATTATAGCACACAAATCTCCATAGGCTTGCTTACGCTTCAGTGGTATCTTCTGTCAGCAACAAAAGCTTGCAGCAAGCGTAGACCGAAAAACAAAACAAAACAAAAACAAGCAGGAATCCAGACAGCAGCTTGTGTATGATTGTGCACTTTCTGTAAACCACGCAGACACTGATTGCTGCACTCGCAATTGCTGCGGCCCCATACGGCCATTCGGCATTAAGGTGCTGGACAACTTCAAGCGCGAGGTGATGTACATTGAACGGCCACTACGATGCGACACGTGTTGGTTCCCGTGTTGCCTACAGGTATGCAGCACTGCCCTTACGTCATCATCGCCATATCATCATCATCACGTTCGTCGTCATCACCATCACCATCTCTTCCATATGACGCCGAAAATCTGAATAACCCACTATTGTCGATATTCAGGAATGAAATTTGGATTTGGCTCTTTATAGAATGCGACATTTCATTTGAGCTTGAATTGACGACGCGAAATGTGCTTAAATGGCAGTGGATGAAGGCTATGGCAACATAATGTGAAAAAATTGACCCCATCTGTGCATGTGCTGTCGGTGCCATCCTTTGTTGCTTGGGCATAATGGTGGAGTCACGGTGACAAGATTTGTAGAGCAAGTGGCCATTCTAGGCACACTATTCTGCACTACTGAAGGCGTTTTCTTGTTCTTGGCATCTGCTGAAGGGCTTAGTTGGTTTGTTAGTTTCTATTCTCAAAAAAGGGCTCGAGCGCTTCTTCTTCGGCTTACCTTAGCTGATTTTATGTCACGCCACTTCGAATCACATCTTCTTCTTCAAGAAATAGGTCAGTGCCCGATATCTCCATTTCACTTGTCTTCCATTTTAAGTATATCGGCTTGGAATAATAAAAAAAACCATGTACAGCAGTGCTAAACTTTAAAAAAAAGAATAAGACGGATGAAGAAGTATAAAGTCGGCTTTTTACCCTTTACGAGTTTTGCCCTGCAACATCATGTCCTTGAGGATTAGTGCCTACTCACTTACTAAAGAACAATAGTGGAACGAAAGCACGATAGCAAATCCACTGTATTTTTAACAACCAACCGCGTCCAATATATTTACCTTCTGTCTTATAGGACACAAGTTAAAGGTATTGGATGCGGCCATGTTGGTTGTTTTATCACAACATTGTTGACGCAGCGCTGGTTTGATAGATCTAAGTTTCTTTCAAAACATGTGCAAGATTTGGCTCATTTCCAATTTGAAACCGCTTTTATAGTTCCCGTTACCATCAGCAACTGTCCCATCTTGATTACTAGTGCTTCAAAAATGGAAGATACTTAGGCGGGCTTTACATTCCCGTGAAATGTAACCCAGTTGCGATTTTCGAATTAGGCCGTTTTAGAGGGAAAGGAAAAAAAAAATCCACATATGTCAGAACAGCCACGTACCGTCTTTCCTGAACAAGCATGCACATCCTATCTGCGCCGCACGTCGTATCTGTTTGCGCACCTCCTTGTGCGAACGACCTCGGCTCCGGCGTTTTATCTATGGCAGACGTATGCGTGACTCACAATTACTCACTCGTTCTGTATGAATGTGTTGGAGCAATATCTTTTATATAGTGTTTAGGTACACATTTTTGTAGTACGGTAAGTGGATTTTACAGCGCTTCTGCAGATTACTAGAACAGACAAAGTGTTTTTTTTTTTTACTCCGTTAGTTGTGCAACAAAAGCTACCTCAACGGCTTGAATATGCACTAAGTAGCACTGGCCATCAAGCTCAACAACATCAGTCATACCTGAACTGAAGTTCTCACATATAAAGCTCTGGAACCGGCGTGTATTATAGCGTATTGCAGAATGAAATGAAAACCGGCAAGCACGCCTGATTGAGAGGTGGCACTGGCGCTGTTAAGCATAGGCATAAGGTTCATGCCTATACCTTGTTTTCCATCAAACTGCGACTTTTCAATTGATAGTTAGGGTGTGTTTTGCCTGGCTCCATTCTCCCGAGTACGTATTTGTACTCCATGTCTTCTTCCAGGATGATTTTTTACCTAGCTGTCTCCCTTTCTTTCGCCCATATACCGTGTACACTGGGAGCAGTAGATGCGCAGGTGACGGTGTGTGTGTGTGGGGGGGGGGGGGGGGGGCATCAGTCGAGTCATTTCCGCCAGGTGCCTCTGTATACCAGTATTCTATAAAGTCCCTTCAGTGTTCCATAGTTGCACAAATCAGTTATAGAAATAAAGGTGGTTGGAATACTGGTGGAGGAGAGATAAAATACTTTCGCATTTTCTCTAAGCCTTCTTTTTCTGCTATATTTCCTGTTCATGTGCAGAGGGGAAAAAACGAATAAAGAGATACATTAAATGATTGTAATAAATACTGCGAAAAATACTGCAACTCTGCCATAAGGTGCCAAAAGTCGGGCTGTGCGCTTATTGAGCTGTATTTGCGTAGGACGGATGGAAATTACAATTGAGGCTGATGAAGCATTTAAACCGAAGTAAAATATAATAATAATAGTTCTTTTGTCGAGCTTCGTGGCGTAAAGGTCATCACCTCTTTATGTAGGCGACGCTCATATACATGCAACCACTGACAGGGTGCCTCGATGCTAGTGTACTATACAAGGGCAAAGACAAAGCATAACTTCTTTGTCGTTTCATCTGCGATACCAACAACCAAGCAAAATCGCCCTCGTTCCATGTACACCTTTATCACAAAGAGAGGTCAAGATACTAGAACAAAAGCTCACCACGCGCGCAAGTGATAGCGTCGGTTGCTTTTGGAACGGCTTTTCGCACTTGTGCAACGACAAAAAATATGCTGCATTATTATTATACGTGTTTTCTGCACAGTCGTTTAAGCAGTGTTTACGCTTATACACGTGTAAATTTACATGTGCTGCAACAACGTACACTAAACTCCGTTGACACCCCGCCGAGCGTTCATGCTGCCTTCGTGTCTCCTTTTTTTATCTGTGCGTGTGCGTCAAATCGTTCTGCTGTGCTGCAAATATGATTGCGACTGTGTAGCCCATCTCACATCTGTGACTTAGTCGTTAATTAGCGCTTTCGTTTGATAGCTTTATTCCCGAAATTGCGGCACCTCGATTGCCGTACAGACGGAATTACACTAGAGCGCCAGCTTCAACTGCCTTTTTTTGTTTTTGTTGTTGTTGCATACATACGCGAATACCTGTGCCGCATATAAGTAACATAGTCATGCTGCCTGTTCTAGGTCGTTGTGCTATGATTCGCGCCTGAACGGAAGCTTGTCGCGAACGCCAGGTACAGCCACACCCCTCTCTAGATAAGTCTCATGCCTCTGTGCACGGATATATGACGCCCATTCAGGAAAAAAGCGTGCGTATACTTAACAGCAAAAATGACGCCGTTTGCTTATGTATTAGCATAAAAAAACGTCAATGCTTGCGGATCTTTTTGCAAGGTAATACAATCGTAGTATACGTAATAATATCTTGGCTTTCACTCACCTAACCCCCTGATTGATCACGATGCGCGCCATGTTGGAATGCTCTGGGAATTTAGACCACCTGGTGTTCTCTAACGTGTGCTGACATTTTACAGAACACAAGCCTCCAGCGTTTCGCCTCTATCATAAAGCTACCGCCGCGGTCAGAATCAAACCCGCCAATTTCGAATCAGCAGTCGAGTAACGTAATTACTGTACCACCGAAGCATACCAATCGTAGTTATAAATGCAATAATTAGCAAAAAGACTGTTATTACATTCATAAAGGTTGTCTCTTTTATAAATGACACTTGCTACGCCTCCTCGTCAGCGAAAAGCGCTAATGTTAACGCAGGTAACTTCTTAGGGGTTGCGAAGTTTTGCTATTGTTGTTGTTGTTGTTGTTTCCCTGTGCAAATGGCTCGTACCCAAACAAGGGGATTTTCAGCCCTAAACCGTTTCCTTCGTTTTTCTTTTTTTCTTTATCTACAAAGACCTTGGAGGTGATGGCGCCACCGGGCACGACACTCGGCTACGTGGTCCAGGAGTGGAGCATTATCTACCCGCGGTTTCGCATCGAGAACGCTATGCACGAGGCGGTGCTACGCATCGAAGGTCCCGCCTGTCGATGGAGCTGTTGCGGCAGCGACGTCGTCTTTCACGTCAGTTTTCCCGCGCTTTTTGCACCACGCTTGCGCTTTTTAAGTGCAATAAACTCTCTAGCAGTCTTCACTGCGTCACTGAAACCCCATGCAGCAGTTCCACATTATAATGAAGCGAAATGTAGGCACCAGAGGTACTAATAGTGCCCTAAGTGGGGCTCGATTAACCCAAAAACATAGAGTGAAAAATTCCAGAAAGTTGGCTTCTCCCTTCAATGCACATAACTGTGAAAAAGCCACCTTTGACGTGGGCTCTCTGTGAAGCTTGCGAATATGCGCACACGTATAGACAAGGGGATGGAAAGCGGAGAGAAAGATAGAGAGAGGCGCCCCGCCGCGGTGGTCTAGTGGCTAAGGTACTCGGCTGCTGACCCGCACGTCGCGGATTCGAATCCCGGCTGCGGCGGCTGCATTTCCGATGGAGGCGGAAATGTTGTAGGCCCGTGTACTCAGATTTGGGTGCACGTTAAAGAACCCCAGGTGGTCAAAATTTCCGGAGCCCTCCACTACGGCGTCTCTCATAATCATATGGTGGTTTTGGGACGTTAAACCCCACATATCAATCAAGATAGAGAGAGGCACAAGAGGGAAAGACAGGAAGGTTAAGGCAATTCCGACATCTGGTTCACTAGGTTTGCTAACATACGCTAGAGAAGGCAGCTAGCTACTCCAGGGGAGATGGGAGTAATCTACAACACATGTCGCCCGTATATGGAGGTGATCCGTAGAACAGGGCGACCCGATTGCTAGAGATGATTGAAGCTGTTTCCCATTTGTCATGTGATGCCCTCTCTAGCAAGCTCGAAAAGCAACATAACGGTAACCTGTAGAAGTGTGGCAGCTTGGGCTAGTTGGTATGGCATGACGATAGTTATAGCGCGAGAACAAAACGACGACGCAGAGACGACACAAACGACGACACAGGCACGAGGTAGCATTTTGGCCATGCATATGGAAGCGAAAACAGCGCCAGATACATGCGTTAAAAAGACACGCAAGAGAAACGGTGGCTTGGTTTAGAATGGCAAACTGCACTTCGAGAACCGTAATGCCACATGTATTATTATAAGTTCATTGTTAGCGGAGGTATATCAAGGTCAAAGTACCATTTTTAAATTTCGCGCTGAAATCTTCGCACATGACGTCAGATACTTCGCAATGTACTTGTGGTGTTTTCGTGACAATGAGTCCACAAAATTTTCTGAAACTTCGTATGCAAGGTTACCTCACAAATGATAAACTACTTCATATTTATCGATTAGAAGCTACGTAACACGTGCGCAGTAGACGCCTTCAAAATGCATGACGTCATGGTGTTTGGTTCGAGAATAGCAAGGCGGCGTCTCCTCCCACATTTTCTTTTGACGTGTTTTCTCGCTTACCAACCGTCGTGTCGCGGTAAGAGTGGTGTTTTCGCGGTTGCGAACTTGTACTTTACTGATAAGAGAAAAATTGGCGTTGCTCTTTAGTGGCCCTTTAAACAGTATTTATTCATCACTGAGCGTTATGCTCTTTTTTAAATACATTTCTTCTCTCGTGAAAAAAAGGAAAAACATTGGACATACCAGGAAAACACATTTCGAGTCTTCATTTTGAGGAATTAAATTCCAGGAACCATACCAAGAAACATTTCGAGACTTTGGGCAGCGACATCAAGTGCGAACTATAAGCACTGACCGTGATCGCGTTTTTACACGCAGGTCCTTTCAAAGGATGGCCAGACGCAAGTTGGGAGGATATCCAAGCAGTGGTCCGGCCTGTTAAAGGAGGCTTTCACGGACGCTGAAAACTTTGGCATCTCGTTCCCAATGGACATGGACACCAGCATAAAGGGAGTGCTCATCGGTGCAGCTTTCCTCATAGTAAGCGGTACTTCCATTAATAAAAAAAAATGATAACGATAACCAGCCGTCTGTAGAGTGTAGATATGTAGAAAGCTGAGCTTGTCGTCTGTAGGGATTCATCATTGATAAGGGGTTGCAGATGTGGACACAAGAGCAAGAAAGGAACGCCTGTGCTGTCGGTTTTCTTTATCTAGTGTATGGCGTGCACATTGAAGTTATCTCGAAGCTAATAAACCGAATTTCGGAGGCGCGTCACCTTAGTATCGTAATCACTAACGCAGAAATTGCTGCCGATATTGCATTTTGAATTTTCAATAATAAATTTAGAAATGCAGCATTGATTTAGAGGTTAAACTTATTAAAATTAATCCTATACCCACGTCACACGTCGTCGCGTCCATTAAAAAAAAAGGCAAGGAGGTTTGATGCAAGCGTTAGAGCTTAAACCTAGTTTATACTTTATTTCTCTTATATTGTGGTCAGATTGCTCGTGATCATTGTGATATAAATCTACTTCTCTTCTTCGCAGGACTTCATGTTCTTCGAGAAGACGGCTAATCAAGAACAAGATTGTTGTGCGATGTTTTAGGAGGAACCACACGAGACGCGTCGAAGTGACAGGACACTGGCATGACGGCATTTTTCTTCCCATCTCATGCAGAAGTCACGCAAACTGTGATCGCCATACGAAAGCTGAATGCGACGTTGCCGCAGGGGTATTCTTCGCTTGTAAAGCGTTGGTATTCAGGCTAGTCCATACGGTCAATGGAACCGTATACACGAACGCCATCGCAGCGCGCTGAGCCCTTTTATTTTCTTATTTATCTTTCTTTCCCGCATTCCGTACGCGACCATGTACACACTCCTGACGCATGCGGCTGCGCCAGAAAAAAAAAAAAAACACCCGAAAACCTGTTTAAGCGATCGAGTGCATGTCGCTGGAAAACAGTGTTAGCAGTCACTTCACTTATCACGTTTCCGTCGATGTCAAACAGGTCGGCGTTTTCCACGAGTCGCGAAAAACGATTACACCTATTAGCGATTCACCTATACAGTGAGTCGCCATTGATGATAAACAGTGAGGCGAGAAGCTAGAAATGAGATGCGATGTGCTCCTATTGCCGAATTCCTGTAAACGCGGCTGTTTGCCTTTTAAGATGGCTTGCGTGTTGCACTGGAGGTTGCGCGTTCGTTTTCCGGCCACAGCGTCTAATTACAAAGGGAGCAAAGTGCTAGGACACGCGTGTTCCGATATTTAGGTGCACGTTAAAGAATTCAATTGTAGTCAAAATTGATCCGGAGTCTCCTATCATGGTGTGTCTCACATCGATATTATAGTTTCTACTCTATACGTAAATGGATGTGGCGTATTTCGCACCCCTTTTGTGCTCTCGCCTATAGGACTCTGACACAGAAGTCTCCAGAATTCAATTTTACATTTCATAAAGGGCATCTCACCAAGTTGGGCTTTGCAGGCATACAAGATCGTCGAGCTTAATAAGCGATGGTGGCTGTGTCATGCAACGTATGAAGCGGCTGCATGACGGAAAAACGGTCGCACTTACATGTAGATATCCGCGCACCCCTCCTCTCGAAGAAGAAGCGCTTCTAGCGGGAGCCACGACTATGTGCATGAATTCCTGCAACATCAATGGCCACGGTACGTGACTTGGATTAACCATTCAATGCGACATGCGGATTGCGCAATGCGCCGCAAAGCCAAACAGGTAGGTAAAAAAAAAACACACAAGCAAAAACGGGTGACGTGATCGCGACGTAGCTCGTCCGCCGCACTATGTGAGAGAATGAAGCAACGCCGTTATAGAATTTATACGCAACACCGCGGAGTCAAGAGTTGCGAGATAGTGTCGCTTGACAATGACACTTGCCTACTAGCGGTATACAGTATAACCAGAAATCAGAGCCGCAGATATTGCCACAGGGATCAGCGCACGCGAGAAATCATGGAGGCGTTTTGCGTGCGTGTACCTGGGAGGTCACAAGTGTATCAGTCAGCCTTCGTTGGCATTATCACATGCAGCAGTGTTATACCTCATGGATAGTTCGCGTCACGTTCATATATCATCTACCACGTAGTGGTTATTTTTACTACTACTTGTCACGTTGTGCACGTGTCGGCGATGGCTATTTGTCTCTCCCACTTGCTATTTATTTTGCTACGTTTCGAAATAAAACTTTAGTTGCGAGTCGGGCAGTTTTATATCGTTCCTCTGCTCGAAAATGTTTTCTTTTACGCCGTTTATTCGTTCAAAATGGTATAACAGGAGAGAGAAAGAGGGGGGGATAGAGGAAAAACAGGATGGGGAGTGGGGTTTAACTAGACTACATCCGGCTTACTACTCTAAAGGTAAACGCATTTGACAGAGATCTGTCTGCACACTAAACAAAAATGACCTGAAATAACCTCAAAAACTGGTTAAACCATTTGTCCTCTATTTGTCCGCTACCTTTCCTGGGGTTTTTTTACCACCTACAGCGATGTAAAAATTTACTCTCGTGCTAACCGAGTTTTTGAACGTAGCGAGAGTAGTAATTATTTACCCCAGTGAGGTTTTCAGCGAGTATAAAGAGAGTAAATTTTTACTACCTTCACAAGGTTTTTGAGGTGATTACTGGGAGTTATTTCTGGTGTTAAAAAAAAATAAAAATGACGGGTGCATTCGCTCAGAGTCGACAAATTTATTGAAAAGCAGAATTCATTGAATTTATTGAGCGGCAGAATTGGTGACACATACATTCACATACAGACAAACACGCACACACAACAAATGCAGAGTGATACACCACTAGCACAGACTGCCCGCGTTGCTCGACTACACTTTGACAATCCGGAATATATATAAGCATGACTTTTTGACCGGCAATGTAGTACTGGTAGGATAGCTCTTTTTTTTGCATCGATTAACAACAACGCTTGAAGGTGCAAGCGTAAGCTTCAGGTGGGCTGCAGGGCACTAAGTGTCACACCGACCTTTTATTATAAATCTACACGATCTCACCTTTTTTATTATCCAATAATTGCTTGGCACACCGGGCTCTTTGCCCCACGCGTGTTAGCACTGCTGATGCACAAGTCCACAAAATATACCTAAGTACGCACAAAGCATGGTAGCTCAATGATTTTCATTCAGCGACGGTGCACAAACACAGTAGCAGTACGTATTCATCACAACGGGCGTAAAAGAGCGGTCCACGCCTGCATACAAGCTGCTTACCGACGGCGTTCTAGGCCTTTTTGAGGAGCACGGCTATCCGATAAAACACAGCTGGCGATCACAGAACACATATCCTGTGCGAATTTCGTCGTCATTTCAGACACACGTGAACACGTCGCCGCTATCTTACGGGGACGGGGCGGTGTATGCACACTTCCAACGAAAGACCACCATCCGGGTTTTCTTCGTGCTCACGGGCAGCCTCTTGTTTCCGTCTGCCTCGTATCGGCTTCGCGCTACATGTTTGAGAACAGTTGGTGCATGAGGTGGGCGATTCGGGCAGCACTTTACTCATGCAGACATCGCCTACTGTGGAACAAAATATATGCGATGCTTCTTTCACCTGCCCCGGCGACACACTCCCACTGGTCACTGGTGGCCACGGCTCGGTGACGACGACAGAGTGAAGCATTTTGCTCATTGCTTTTCCAGCAGGCAAGCACGGACGATGACACCAGATTGATTTTGTTACCACTGGCAGATCTTCACGATTCGGCTCAGAAGTGAGATATCCGCGACGGGCAGGTTCGGAGGCGCTCGGAAGAGCACGGTCGCTCGGTGATGTAGGAAACACGTGAGATCCATCAGCCCAACCAGACACACAGATGCCGAGCTTCTTGCACTGTCTGTGGTGGTGGTAGTGGTTCATGAGGAAAAGGAAGAAGGCACTTAATTTCTGTCTGCCTACAGGCGACACGGCGCAAGGCCACCGCCGAGCAAAAGCAACATTTTGCGAAAATATGCAGGGCTGCTTTCCACAGCAGGTTTTCTTTCTTTTTTTTTCTCTTTTGAGAGACCCCCCCCCCCCGTCTTTTTTTTTTTTTTCGCTCAAAGAATGCTGTTCTCGCTTGTTGTGCTTATGCTGCCCCCAGTTCCAGTAAAAGTGCGCTGACTCGAGGTCAGTCCAGAGGCACGGCGATGCAAAAAAAAAAAAAAAACATCTGTGGGCTTCGCGTACCTTCAGTATTCACTGAGAGCGTCACAAGGGGGGTATGGGGCAAAAGCCACCGAAGCAGCTGCACCTTGCAGTCACGTGGTAATAAACTCTGAAACGCAGGTTAAAAATCACGTGATAGAAAACACCCTAAGTGGTAAAACTGAATTTTGACATCCTTTTACTACTTGCCTGAGAGGTGGTGGTAAAACTATGTCATGTACCATCTTTTACTCCTATGCGAGGTAGTAATTTTAAACCCGAGAGAGTTTTCAGAGGTCATGAGCCGGAAAAACCCCAAACTCGGATAGTTTTTGCTTACAGTGTGGCTGGGTAAAATTATACGAATAAGCGAACTCTGCAGCCACTTATAGTCTATAATTTTTATTATTAGGATTAAAAACTGGCCCCACGTTTCGGAACCCACTCGGTCCCTTCCTCGGCGGCCTGGCGACTGTCTGGCCTCAGAGCCGGCCATGCAGTCACACCCCCCCCCCCCCCCCGCGAGAAAGGCACCGAGTGGGTTCCGAAACGTGGGGCCAGTTTTTAATCTTAATATTAAGAACTATAGACTAAAAGTGGCTACATAGCTTGCTTATTCGTATAATTTACTAGTATACACGTGGGTAGGGAAATGAGGAGTCAAAAGGGACAGTGAAAGCATGAGTGGACCCAAAGCACAGCACTCGCGCAGTGCAGCCTATCTACGAATAATCACTTCTTTCGATTACCCTTAATAACTGCAGAAGGCCTCATACGGCTACTTGGCTGATGAGCTGAGAAGCCAGGCTCCAAAGCCCTTTTGTACAACAAAAGATCAATTTATCACATCTTCTCCAATATCGCTCGATGAAGAAGCATATAATTTGCTTATGCACTCCCTGTGACTTTATCTATCTATCTATCTATCTATCTATCTATCTATCTATCTATCTATCTATCTATCTATCTATCTATCTATCTATCTATCTATCTATCTATCTATCTATCTATCTATCTATCTATCTATCTATCTATCTATCTATCTATCTATCTATCTATCTATCTATCTATCTATCTATCTGTCTGTCTGTCTGCCTGTCTGTCTGTCTGTCTGTCTGTCTGTCTGTCTGTCTGTCTGTCCGTACGTCCGTCCGTCCGTCCGTCCGTCCATCCATCCGTCCGTCCGTTCATCCGTCGGTCCGTTTATCCGTCCATCTGTTTGTCACAGTGTGCAATGCACCCTCATAAATGCTTCCTCCATGTCGAATTTCAAACGTTTATGCACGTGCTTAGTTGTGACCCATTTTAGTTGATGCACGCAAAAACAGTGACGCGTTGGTATCCAGACAACAATAAAATGTGTCACGTTAAACGACGAGTCACCTTGACAGAAGATCTGATTGCCATATCAGAAACTGCTGATCGCCAACAAGCAATCGAGAGCGAAAGCACCAGTTATGGGAAAACTGCTGTACGAGTAAGAATGTGGCTGGCACACTTGTACACTCTTAATCAGGTCCTGGGAAAATCAGACGAGAAATGTCCGGTTTCCTGGCTGTAATCAGCACTACAAGCGGTAATTGATTTCGAGGGCCGGCGCTGGTTCTTCGCGTACAATGCGAAAATCTGTGACTTAAAACAATATTTCTACGTAAGGAAGCTTCGTTTCTTTGAAATTGATCAACCATGCAGAGACCGTGCATGCATATAGAAAGTATAATGAAGAGCGTCAATTGTTGACGACCATTATGTAAATTTTTTTCATATCATTGGTTGTAAATAAAACAGCTGAAATGGGTAGTAAGTAAATACTAAATTTATCTATAACTGGGGGCTAACATTATCGACAAAACATGGTGATCATCCATCGCGCGGCTATACGGTAGTCTTCGTTATTCGGTTCTTTTTGTTATCGTGACGATGGTGTCCTGAAATTGCCATCCTTAAAGTCATCCGTTCCAAAAGACTTCGCATAGTTTAGAACTCTCAATCCCCAGATGCAGTTTTGAGCGAAAAAGCTTTGCCACACCCGTTTCTCGCGTCCATCGTATAAACTTCTAATGCCACCATTTCCCATTCCCTGGTTTACCTTTGTTTCTTGCTTTTTAAGTTTCTATGGGCTATCTTTCGGGCATCTTGTCAACACGTATCACTTGTCAACAAAATTTTGCGGCACAGTTTCCGCTCCTCCTCCTACCTTCACCTCACGTCCCCTATCCCTCCAAAAATAAAGATAACATGAAAAACTAAACCTTCAAAGATTACACTCGTTTCGCGCTCTATGTTGAGATAAACGTGCAGCACGTAATTAAAAAGAAGAATCGGGCGAGAAAAGTACCCAGAAATTTATTTGTAATAGCTGCTGTTGGTAAACTGTGCTCTTTGATAAGCTTGCAACTGACCTCTTCTAGACAGTTCGTTCAATATACATCTTCTTTGAACCATATCATTCACATTATATCAGGTGAGTTTTGTTATTTACGCACGTACTGTGTCTGAAAAATTCTGTACATGTTCAGCCACCATGCTTTTGCTCATGTCTATAGCAAGTCCTTACAATGTTGTGTGACTTGTGAGCTAACGTAATTCTTCATTGTTGGAAATAACACCGGTCTTTTTCTGTAAAACTCGCATTTTCCTTTGCCTTACTTTAGCATTCTCTCTCTCTCTCTCACATGTGTAATGCATATCTACTGTGAGGTTACTGTAAGTAAATAAATAAGTAATTGAATAAACAAATAAATATTTCGTTTCTTTCTCCTTAAAGATAGCCCCAACCTGTAGTCCATAATATTAAAATGCTTCCAAGCTGGACGAAAAGTTGAACCCATACATTCCTTGCTCGTTTATGTTACCTCGGGGCCAAAGTGCAACAAACACGAGCACGTAACGCATTGCGATACACATCGGTTCATAAACAAGCTGGCGTGTACACGAAACATACGACGCGCAAAACACCGGAAACGGTCTTCCTTTGAAGTCATTGTGGGAGCGCCCTCATAAACTCTCACTGTATTGCAGCGTTATATACTACTTTCACAGGTATAAGCGAGATAAAGG